TTTGGAAATGAGATCGCACGTAAGTATGAATCGAGATCGCGATTTTCTAACGATTAATCGTGCAGCCCTACTACTATATATATATATATATATTCCTATTTACAATACTATTCTCAGTCGGCTCCCATCTTACTTAACTGACCTACATCAACCAAAAAGTCTGGGAAGAGTTTTTGCTTCTGTCCATATTAAAATTGGAGAAACAGTCATTACATTTGCAGCTCCTTCCACCTGGATTAAGCAACTAATTCAACTAAGCTTGAGAAAAAAAAAGAAAAAGGTCATTCTAAATAAATTTAAGGTCACTTTAGGAAACCTGTAGGTAGTTACCTCAGGCTGTGTTATACCTGAGAACTACTGCTTCTGTTTGTAATAGTTTGGTTAGTTTTGATGGTCAGATGATTAAAAAAAAAAAAAAAAAAAACACAAAACAAAAAAACAAAAACAAAAAAACTCTATCATCCTCATCATTAATCAATCAAACCAAGTAGTGACATAATGTCATGCTGTCTAACTCCAGATAGGTTTGCGAGTTTCATTCTCATCTTTTCGACATCTCACTTAACATCTCTAATTCTTAGATTAAAAAGGCAAGACTTTGATTCAAGTGTTACTAGAAAAAAAAAAAGATTAAATCCAACTTGTTTTATGTAAAAAGGCATCTTAAGTTGCACCTGTGGATAGTGAGGTAGAGCCTCATAAGCTCAGTGAACTGAGGATCACTGTAGCCCAGCATGTTGGTGAAGTTGTGGGACCAGTCGAGGTTGGAGTCGATAGCTCCGATACTGCTGCCTTCACGGTACAGGTTACGGTAGATCTTGGCAGCAATGCAGGGGAGCTTGGCAATCAAGTCCATAGAATCTTCATAGATAAACTTTAAAAAAAAAAAAAAAAAAAAATAGATAAATTAAACAAGAAAAGACCACATGAAACCAAACTGAAAGTGTTCTTGTGTCTAAAGTGATTCAGTCTCTTGAGCAAAAAAAAATTCTATTAGTCCATATTTTTCAAAAAAAGGTATGGGTGTAAACTCACCTCCCAGTACTTGGACTTGTGGACTCCCTCAGAGTAGGCCCGTGCAAAGCTGCTCTCACTGTTCAGAGCTGTAATGGCAGCGCTGAACTGGGACATGGGGTGCAGATTTGTCGGGAAATTATCCAACATGGTGACAACATGAGAGGGCAGTGCTGCTCTCTTTGCCCACTCTTTGGACACCCAGTTCACCTGGAAAGAAAGATGGACACAAAATAAATAGATGAGGCAGAAATCTCAGAAAACTCTTCGATCAATAAGGAGACAAATGTGTGTTGAGAATAAACATTTCCTCCTTGGCTGATTTGAGCAGATATGAGACGCAGGAAGAACAGATAGAGAGGTGCGCTTGAAAGTTGCAAGCATTTGAAAGGAGCATAGGTTGTCCTCATATCATTCTGTAAGGAGATAGTTGGCAGCAATAAAATCCCTATAGATTGTGTCTTGTTTCTTGTAAAAACAAGATACAACCTCTAGTTTATACACGCCAAATTTCAGAAACAGGTTTTCTTAGATATCGACTTTGGTTATTGATTCCCTGTAAAAATAAAGCTTATTCTTGTATCTACTTTCTAAAATTCTCACAGCTCCATATAGAAAACTTCACTCAGCCTTACTTGTGCTTCTCAGAGCTTTTAAATTAACATAAGTAGCTTTTATATTTCAGCGGCAGACGCTGTACAAAAAACTAAATACTGATGATTACAATTAGGGGGATAGGTTAATTGATTAATCCAAATTGCCTATAGGTGTGAATGTGGGAGTGAATGTGAGCGCGAATGGTTGTCTGTCTCTGCGTGTTAGCCCTGCGACAGACTGGTGACTTGTCCAGGGTGTACCCCACCTCTCGCCCTATGACAGGAAAAGCGGAAGCAAATTGATGGATGGATTGATGGATACAATTAGAGCTGGCTTAGTTGATTCTGACTCTTGCTGCTACATAGGCCTATGTTGCTGAGACCTCTAAACTCACAGAGCACCTGTCTTGTGCTGTTCTGTATTTCACTCTGCAGGCATTTATTTATTATAGTATTGTATGTCATTTGCTTCTATTTTCTTTCTTGTAGTTTGTGCATTTTGTTCTGTCCTCTCTGTCCCTTTACCTTTTCTGCAAAAATTGCAAATCTTTGAGTTTAAAACTGCATGCATTTCATCAACAGTGACTGGCCCTACCAACCTGCCCAGAGGTTATTATAGTTGTGTCATTTGGTTTGTAAAATGCTCATCTTCGCTTTCCTCAACCCAACCAATCAAGGCAGACTGCCACACACAGAGCCTGTTTTTTTACTCCCCACTGCAAACAGGTTCTTGCTCAAGGGTGGGTTGTTTTTTTTTTTGCCTTAAGTGATTCTCAAAATTTTGGTGACTCAGTGCAAACATATTTTAACCTATATTTTAATATATAAAGGCTGCACAAGAGAAATGCTCACATCAAGACATTTAGTGTAATATATCACTTCAGTTGGTTGTTTGTGTGTATTTGTCACTTTTTCACTGAGTTAGCTTTTAAACTACTGTTAAGCTACCATTTCTTTTATTGTGAACGTAAAGAAAAATTTAATGTAGATGATAACTAGAAACGACTGAAATTAAGACATTTCTGAGTTAAAGATTACTATATAAATTTTTTCCTTGACAAGGCCATGGAATTTATTTTTTATTTTTTTAACAAGGATGGCAGTTTGCACTTTGAGAAGAACCAAGGTTAAAATTTAATGTGCCTTGAGCCTTTGTACATTTGTATCTGTCATTACATAAATACACTTGAACTGAACACACGCCAAGCATCTTGTTATTCACGTTTCCATAATGCAAAAGAAAATGTCATGACTCACGTATTTGGTACCTTAACTGATCCAGGTGCCAAAGTCACCTTATTTACTGCACTGCAAGAATATTCAGTTTTGATGAAGCATTCTGAAGAGATTTGACAGCGTCTGACATACCATGACAGATACCTGCTCACTGAAACTCCAGTAGGCAACAACATTTTATGACAATAACTTCTTGCATCGACTCACCTGCTCCTCGGTTGGGACCTGTCCTGTGACCAGCAGCCAGAAAAGACCCTCGGGCAGTGGCTCCTCACCTCCTGGAGCTTTAGGCAGCAGCTTCTGACACTCTGGAATACTGTAGCCCCTGAAGCGGATGCCCTGATTATCAAAGTAGAGACGAGAGGGGAGAGAAGATGTTGAAGTAAATGTTATTTGTGATAATTAGCTACATATTCCTGTTATCATCAAATGCACAATCAATTGAGTGCTGGCAAGCTGCTAATATAAGCTGCATCTCTACCAATGAATATTGATGATTCAATGCCTCAGAGTGCCACAGCTTTGGCCAGAAAGCAATCAACTCAAGTGCCTACAGGGAATGCTAATGCGTATGCAGCTAAGAGTAAAATAACAGAAAAAAAGGTTACCATAATAATACCTTGTGCTTTTTGTGTTTAGAGTCTGACTGATAACATGTTTGTTCAAAAACCTTATCTGATTTAAATTTAAGATATCATGTCGTGCCAGTGCAGCTTTCTGGCTGCTGCCTTTTCTACATTACTTCCAAGAACTCTCCGCACAGAGCAAGTGGTCACTGCTATGAGAACTTACACTATGCACTCTGCGCTTTTGTCATCCATGTTGAACGTGAGCAGAGAGCAACCATTAATCTCTAATATAGATTAACCTGAATTTCAAGCTATAATATACAATATTATATACCGTTCACAGTAATGTTGGGCAATGATAAGAAAATTAAATATCGCGACGGAATATGGGTAAAACGCGCATGCGCAGTGCCTTTATTTTCATACACACATGGTGGAAAAAGCGTGGCGGCGACAGAGAATGAGAAGGGCGAAAGCAGATCGTTGAATGAAACAGATGAACCAGAATTGGTTTATAAAAATGGTTCAACTTCAGTGATGTGGAACTGGTTTGATTTTTGTCCGTCAGATAGCCACCAAAGCAAAATGTTTTGTAGAACATGTAAGCGGGCCGTCCTTATTACTGTATTTTTCAGACTATACGGTGCTCTTAAAAGCCTTTAATTTTCTCAAAAATCGACAATGCACCTTATAATCCGGTGTGCCTTTTGTATGAATTCTGGTTGTGCGTACTGACCTCAAACCAATTTTATGCGGTACACAGCGCTCAAAAATCTGTCAAAAAATGTTGTAGCTTACCAGTCGTACTAAAAAGCCGCACCGCTTGATGGATTGTCGGAACATTAAGAGTACCGTAGTCAGGAGCCTCGTGGAGTAATACGTACAGTGCTTCAACATAATTTTACCGTATTGTGTGTGTGGCACTTATGCGTATGAAGCGGATTTTAAACTCAAAGCTATCTGACTGTTTTGTTTCGCTTAATCTGCCTTATAATCAATCCCGTGCACCTTATGGTCTGAAAAGTACGTATCTGACTTATTTATTTGGCACACTGCAGTTTCATGTTGCAAAGCACCTCTTTTAACTTTTGTGGATATTATGCATGGTTATGCTGAGGATACGTTGGCTCATTTCCACTGGAAATGCCTTTTGGTTAAACTGTCAGCAAGGAGTTTGCGTTTGCACTGTTAAATTTTTACATTGCTTTAATGCACATAAAAAACAGCAACTTTTTTAAGTGAAAATAAAGTTATGGGGGGGTTTGAGTTGTAAAATATTTTGTCTTGCATCAATTATAACGTTAGTTATATAGTTATCGCAAATTTTCAAATGTATAAAGTGCTAAATATTTTTGGCCATATTGGCCTGCCCTACTTTGCAGTACTGACTTGATCACAAGTCGTTCTGTTTCTAAACAACCTCAAATCTAGTGTGGCACCTCTGTCTTGCAAACCCCCCCCCCCCCTTTTTTTTTTTTTTTAAATACAAATGTACCAACAAACGCAGGCACTAATAGATCTGCAATAATATATCAGTGTATTCTCTGTGGCTCTGATACTGACCTCCTCAGGATCCAACACAGAGGTTTCATACACCAGACCCTTCATTCCCCTCATACCCCCATAGACCTATGGATGAAAACAAACAAAAACATGGAATGACATTCAGAAAATTGTCTTGCCAATAAGAAAAATAAATAAATAAATAAATAAATATATATATATATATCTCTCTATCTATATATATCTATATCTCTCTCTCTATATCTCTCTCTCTATCTATATCTATCTATCTATCTATCTATATCTATATATCTATATCTATATATCTATATCTATATCTATATCTATATACACACACATACACACATATACAGCCGTGTGTGTTTGTAGTAACCAAGTTACGCTATACTGGACTTTAAAACATTTTATCTACTGCTTATTTTTATCAGTAGACCATTTCAGAAGCTCACCTCTTTGCTTTTGCTATCAGTGTCCACCAAATGTCTTTATAAAGGCAGGAAGAAACATCCTAAATACTATTCAGGTTTGTAATTCTGCACACAGGATAATAAGTTAATAGACACTGAATGCATTATTGCCGTGACACATGAAGCTCAACTTAAATCTACAATGCAACAAGTTAGATGCAGTGTTTGATAGATGGAAGAGGATAGATTTGTTGCAGGTGTGTGAGTGTGAGTGTGAGTGTGTGTGTGTGTGTGTGTGTGTGTGTGTGTGTGTGTGTGTGTGTGTGTGTGTGTGTGTGTGTGTGTGAGTGAGTGAGTGAGTGAGTGAGTGAGTGTGTGTGTGTGTGTGAGTGAGTGAGTGAGTGAGTGAGTGAGTGAGAGAGAGAGAGAGAGAGAGAGCGAGAGAGAGAGAGAGAGAGAGAAAGTGCAAGTGCCAGTTTACAGTGGAGGTTTGAGTGAGTCAGCTCAAATATCCCTGTTGGCAGGAAGCAGCACAATTTGTGACCTTTGAGGGAGATGACCGAACAGTGATACCTGGCACAGTAAACAAGACCAGGCAGGCCTACATGGATTATGTGCAGCTAACATGCCACAGCTAATCTGCATCAAGGTAAAGCCCAAATGCTCCTCCCTGAATTAATATAATCGATCTGAGGAATCCAGCTCAGTGACTCGCTTGTGTGAGGGGCTTATTTTATTCAGCTCACTAAACGTGTGCAAAAATCTCCGCCACTTACCATGTCTACAGTAATCTGCCCTATGTTGGTTTTCCCATACTGTTGTTTGAAGTTCTTGATCCTGGTCTGTTCTTTAGGAATGAGGTCTGAGAGGACATCCTTCAGATTCTGTAAAAGACGATGTTTACTCTTTAATGCCCTTGAATAAACATTCAGCCTTAAAATAGACTACATTCCCTTGTGACCTGTGGTTAAACAAACTTTATGCAAACATTTCAGGAAAAAAAAGATTTATTGCTCCACAAATGTCAATATCTTCACAGAGACCACAGAGTAAGAACCAGTGTCTCTTCCAAAGGTTGTTAACACAAACAGTAAAACTACAGAACAGCTATATAAAACAAGCAGAAAACAGTGGAGTAAATTAAATGCACTTACTGTTGTTGATGCGCTGGCATTTCTGGCAGCCACAAATAGGAAAGAGGCATTCTGCAGAACATATTAGGAAATACAATTTGGATTGTTAGTACAACAAAAACAACATTAGAGTAATAACAGAATTTCTAGACTACCTACTGCTTGTATTTAAAATGAAACAACCTTGGAGGACCTTAAAAGCTACAAAACATTTCTAAGGATAATACTGCAATCAGTCTGTGAGTGAAATGGCTCCAACTCTTTCTCTGTAGTAAGCAATATACATGTTAAACGAATCACCGTGTTCTTACCAAGTGTACAGAAACTTTTACACAGGAAAAAAAACAAACATTTTCTATAATAATTTTTTGCTCTTTCCCACAGTAACAACTGTTCTTATTGTGGTCCAGAAAAAAACATTACACTACAAGCAAACAGTATTATATTTATATAATACCGTATGCTTGTTTTGTCCACAGCACTAGCACTCAGGAGGTAGAGCTACTAATTGGAAGGTCAGTGGTTCGGTTAGCGGCTCCTCCAAATGTTAATGTATCCTTGTGCAAGACTGGTGCTACACCAATATTACACTGATTGTTACAAGCACAAGCCCATTTCCATTCCTGCTCTTCATCAAACAATTTCTGAACACTAACCATTACATGGTACCAAATACATATCGGCTACTGATGTTGGTAAATGCCATCTTATTTTTTTAATATGACAATAACAGTGTAGAGCACCATATTTTCAGTAACAATGTTTGCTTGCTGTACTGGTGCATGCCTAATACATATAATTACAGGTTCTTTCTAGTATTTTACCTATTAAAGTGTACCTTGTAGCATAACACATAGCTTTCACTAAGCTAAGCAGTTATTCAGAGTAGTTTCTCCATTTTCATCCTCATCGTTTTATAACTGCCACTCAAACTTGCCCAAAATTTAGAGTTTAAAAAACAACAACACTTATAACTGGGTAGTTCACAGTACATGGCCTGCAACAAAGGCCACTAGTGACAGCCATTTCAGGGCATTCTGCACCTGAAGGTTTCAGGTGCATTCAAAGTCTGACAACCTGGCCAAAAAAAAAAAAAAAATCAGATCACAAACTGGGGCTTTGTGTTATCTGCCAATACTGTGGAGATGTTCCAAGTTACAAATATTACCCCACCTCTTTCAAACAGCACAGTGTGCACTTTTTCTAAAAACCTCACACCACAATCTCATTATAATATAAACAAATTATTCACGCTCGTGTGTCATTTCTAGTTTGTTTTTTTCACAATGTTAATGCTGGTGTAAAACAATCAGACTGGTCCTGTAAAGCCAGGAAAATTACATCTAGTCTTATTCTTTCAGATCTAACTGTTGGTAAAATGTAAACCAGCCATTACATGTATCCAAGGGGCAAATCCAGAGTGAAGCAACCTAATTACTCACAAACTAGGAAAAGATACCTCCTTCCTTTCATGTCAAGGCATGAATTTAAAAAAAAAGAAAAAAGAAAAGAAAGAGAAGTTTTTATGAAAGTACTCTTAATGGAAACTCATTGATAGTATTGAGAAGTTCAGCTGGCTGTCTTGCTCACTAGTGAAATACGACTCCTGTGTGTGCATTTAAACATATCAGTAGATTATCAATGGGCAGGAGACAGTTACTCCTTATAACCACAACAGTTTTGAATAATCAGGACCATCAAGGCTCAGCAAAACAAAAAAGTAGGGTGCGTCACTACACACACAGTTTACCCAGCTGAGCATCGGGGAGATTATGTAACAGCTCAGTGTCTTAAATATAGAGCACCAGTTAAACTCACTCATTCCCAACTGTCCATCAGCCAGGGTTAAAGAGCAACTATGGCAAGTACTCCACACAAAAAGGCAACCCCTCCGGAGGCTGTGTTTAGAAGAAACACATGATACTTGAGTGATTAGCAACAAAGCCACCCTCTCTATGGACAAACAAATCAAAACAGACATCTTGGTATAAGGAATACACATTTTAATGACATTTAAATCTAGAGGTACTTAAAACAATCCCCTTTTTCAAAAGATGAAATGATCTGAAGCAAGAAAAAAATAAATCATGAGACTCTCCTTTATAAGACTTCATTGTGTTACTAAAAATCACATGACTTTCATAGTTCAGACACATACGTTCTTATGCAACTACAGCTTACTAATAAATCTCCAGAGCAAAGATTACAAATGATAAGAGAGAAAGGTAACTGTGACATAGGTGAGGTCCCCACATATGATAGAGATTTCAAAGAAAGAGAGACACTACTTAGTCGCCATGACTGAAAAATTATCTCTATTATTTCAGTAGTAGGAGACTTGACTTGATATGGCAACCAAGTAGTTCATACTGAGAGGTCACTGGAGTAAAGCAGTAGACTAAGGTCACTGGAAGGGTACTTTAAGATTGACAGCCTGGCCAAAGCATATTTTAAATGATTTAATTAAAACAAAGTCATTTATCTGTTCAAATAATCACATTTTTTCAATGGACATTACAGCAATATGCTCTTCCAAATGCAACTGGATATGTTGGATATTTATAAAAACATAAGATATTAAATGTGCCCTGCCCATTTCATAAACCATAAATCTTACTTCTGTCTCCATGTCAAGATAAAGCCACATTTAACTGGTTAATATCCAACCTCACAGACAAAACCCAGACTGCTGCTGATGGGATTATATCATCAATCATGCAATTTTACCATTAGAAACAGAACACCACAGGGGATCTCTAGTTGTCAATGTAATCATTTTAATGAATACCTAATTGTCCTAGCTCAGAGTATGACTATGCTTCATCTACCTTTAACATTTTCCAAGCAGCCAAATCCTAGTTTTAAAGGCAGAAAATAAAAATGGCTATATGCCCTCACAAAACACTTTCACTTAAAGGGAAAATAAAACTGTTTATAATTAAAGAACCCTGACTTCCTCCACTGTAATCAACCTTCATGCCTGTCCTTGACCATGGACATCTTCAAGATTGTGGGGTGTACCTATAAATACTGCTGCAGTTAAACCACGTCTAATATACAACATTTTATACTCATCACTGCTCTTTTTGAAAAGGTTGAATGAACTTCCTTCCCGTCATGAATTAAAAGCTATCTTATGGTATTCATTTGTAAAGCTTTCAAACCATCCCATAACTATTATATTATTAACCACACAACATAATAAATACTACACCTCTTAACCCCAGATGTTCCAAAGGTATGCACCCTTCTACCTTGCAAGTAGTATGATCTCTACCTTTAGATATCATAAAGTTTTATTATATGATTTTTGCAGCTTTTTTCCGCTGTAATTGTCTGCTGACTGCCTCTTCATAGCTCTTATTTTAAGAGAGGTCTTTTCAGTGGACCTAACCTGATTACATAAAAATTGATTTATGAAAAATGATTTATACCGGCTATTCAGCTGTATTTTAAACATAAGCATTATATGGTTGGTTAAAATCTTAATATGAAAATCAACTGCGATGGTGAATAAACACAGAGTTTAAAGTGAATTTAAAAGAAAGTACAATTTAATGTTATTACGCTATACTACAAATAGTAGAAACTCGTAGCGTAAAGTTAAGAGTCTGCTCTGTGCTAGTTGGACAAACATACCACAGTTATGACACTACAAGGCCAACATGAGTGCAATGATTCATGCGCTACCGTTAGCTAACAAGATACGAGCTGTCAAACAGAACACGGCTTCTGTCTCTGAATAATATCTACGAAAAACAGGGTCCATACATTACTATGATTAAAGTTCTTGTCAGTGTTTAAGCAAATTGCAAAAAACTCGGCCAATTGCATTTCACAATGTGGTTGACAGGGCTAAGCTAGCCTGTTAGCTACCAAACCCGACGTTAGCTTAAAGGAAACGTCCACAGATTTAACCAAGAAAGCGGCATCGAGGCTCATTCTGTTTCTCTTACCTTTGAATTAAGTAGTTTGGGCGCTAGCCTGGTGACAGTGAGGAACGACATTGTGTCTGTCTAAAAGTCTTATTTCCAGTTATTCTTTACAACTAAGACAGCCGCTGCCAGTGCACCGCGGACCTGGTTGAAGGTGCCCCTCCAGAAAGCAGAAGGTTGAAGAGGGATTCAGGCCCGCATTTACAAACAGCGTTGATTGGACAATGGGCTGGATCGGCGCACTTACGTAAAGGCATCTGATTGGTTTACATACCATTGAGGTTATTTTCATTGGATAGAGATTCTCCTTCAACCTGTGACGAGGGCTGAATATCAGGCTCTGTTCACAAACACTGACATTATAAAACCGCGCAATTATTTAGCTTAATCTGACAAATCGAACAAATTGAAGGATTTTTCTTCTAAAATGATCTTTATCCTTCCTATTGTTCAGATGCAGTTAAAGAGCTTTTTTGTGAGGCTACAGTAACATATACTTAACATTTAAGTCTTCACAATGTTAATAAGTGGTATTCAGATAAAAGGACAACAGCAACATAGTGTGATTTTTCTCATTTGACTGCCTCCTTTAAAGGTTCCCACATCTACCTATAGCTACCCCAACCCTAGCATTGTGCTATGTCCTCCTTTTACCCATGAGTCTCCTCTGTGGTATTCTTCATTTCCTCCTTCCTGGGAGCTCCATCTTCAACATCCTTTATCCACTGTACCCAGCATTCCTCCTCTACAGGTGTATAAAAATAATCTCAACCTTGCCTCTCAAATTTGTCTCCAAACTACTTTACCTGAGCTGTCCTGTTTACTCTTGCTGCTATTCTTCTGTCACAAATCATCCCGACACTCATCTCCAACTGCTCCATCCTGCCTGCACTTCTCTTCACCCATCTCATGCACAGTCTGTTGTTCTGGGTGGTTGACCCAAGTTATTTAAACTCATCTAGCTTCACTTCCTGCTCTTTGCATCTTTAAATTTCAATCTGTTACCCTCACATTCATGCACACCTATACTGTCATGTTTATACTGGCTTTCATTCTTCTTCTCTTCAGGGCATACCTCCACCTCTTCAGGCTATTTTCCACCTGCTCACTACTCTCAAGACAGATCACAGTGTCATCTTTGAACATCATAATTCAAACACCCTTCCTGCTTCCATCCTTCCCACTTCATCCTTCCTGACCTCATCTGTCAACCTATCCAACACCACTGCAAACAAAAAGCCAATCCTTGAAGTAATCCCACCCCACCCCACCTTAAACTATCTATCACTCCTGCTACATACCTCACCACTGTCTCGCTGTCTTCATGTGTTCTTCACCACTCTCAAATGCTTCTTTCTCACTATTGACTTCCAGATGCAGTACCATAGTCCCTGTCTGTCATATACTTACTCCAGATTCACAAAAGCACTCCTTCTGACCTCCTCTATTCTTCTCTAGCAACAATCTGAGATCAACCATGTCATCTGTACTGTTCTTTCTCTGCATGAAGCCATACTGCTGCTCACTAATCGTCACCTCTCTTCTAAATCTAGCCTTCTCATGTCTTCATGGTGTAGCTCATCAGCTTTATCCCTCTGCAGTTAATACTTTACAATACACTACACTACCCATGTTCTTTAAACTCTATAACAGTAGCTATTCTCATTTCCTCCAGGATCCTCTCACTCCCTAACATTAGAAATACTCCACATGATACTAAACAATCTGGTTAAAAGGTCCACTGCTCTCTCCTAGTCTTCTTCCATACCCCCAAAAGGGTGTAATCTGGAACAACCTGCTTTCCACTCTTCATCCCCTTTATTGCTGTCCTTACTTCCTCATTACTAGCAAAGAAAGAAAAATGTATTTTCACTGTAAAATGGGAAACTTTATTTTCAAGGATTTATGGGGAAAGGAATAGCTGGTTGTCTACAATCAATGGCATTCTTTTCATACCAACTGCATGCATGGTTGACAGACTGATGGTCAGGCCCAGCATCTGTGGACTGTGACATAATGGCTCAACAGTTTGTTTCAAGGAATAATTTAACTGTGCAATACACAAGAAATGGTTAAAATGTATCAAAACAGAAATGTACTGCACTTCCAAATACAGTACACAGGCCTACAGTTGTTTTCATTCTTAAACTGGAGCATTTAGTATAAATACGCTCAGCCTCAAAGTCATTCATAATCACAAAATGCAAACAAAAATAGTGGATAAAGTCCACAAAATGTATTTGGCACACTAAAAATGATCTTTATCTTAGTTTATTTAAGCCGGGAACACACTACATAAAAAAGAACTTGAAATGACTGATTTTACAGTGACACCTCAAATACTGTGCAGAGTATGCATAGCTCAGTGACCAGTGGTGACAGCTTGTGTTGTAACTTAACTTTTGTGATGCAGACATCTTGCATCACAGCTGTCCCAAATATTTGGTTTTGTAAGACTCGACTCGTTCAGATGGGGTGATTTTAAGCCTTTTAACGGCATTTTATGCAAATCACTAAACATGCAAGGCTGATTCATCTCTTACACTGAGTTTCCTTTAAAGTGCGTCGTGTATTCCCGGCTGTTGGCAGATTTTGCCTTTGCAGGCAAGATTTAAAATCAGCAAAACACCCAAAATGCAATGTAAACTAATCCACATCATGCAGCCATTACGACATGCATGTTTTAAAATCTTTGTAAACTCTCAGCAGAATCATTAGCTGTCTAGTAGTCCACATCTTCTAAAGTGAATTTTGTAAACAAATAGGGCCTCAAACATACATTAAAACAGCAGGAACTGTGCAACACATTATACAGTACATCAATGTTTCCAGAAGTTATAAGAGGTGATCTGATGCGGTTGGTCCCCACTCCTGTGCTCTTGCGCCTGATATCCGACTCAAGGTAATGCATTAGATGGCATACAATCCTTAGAGTGTCCCTTCAGAAGAAAGAAAGGGGAACGCTGGGCTCAGTCATCTTCCTCCTCCTCATCCTCTATGGGATCTAGGAGGGGCCTGTGCTTCAAGCAGGTCTGGAGGTAGTTCACCACTGTCCGCTGGAAGTGTTTGATGCTGCGGGGCTCTCTCAGGATGTGGCCTTCATCTGGGTACAGCTGCAGAGAGTAGTTGGCCTCCACCTTTACCAGACGGCTCAGGAGCTCAGCGCTGTGCTGGAAGTGTACTCTTGCTTTGGATGAATACACACAAACCCACAAATAATGTAAGGAAAATTTACCCCTCAAAAATATAGCTGTCACATTTTTCATAAAATGAACATGATCTCACCGTCTGCAGTTCCATGCAGAATGAGGAAGTTCTCATCTTTCAGCTTGTTAACCTCCTCCAGCATGGAGGCAGTCTGAAAAGATTGCAAAAGGGGATGAGATATTGAGTACACCTAAGCGAAATAATAGCAGTCTATCACACTGGCTCCGCAGTAAATCCCTCCTTGACAAAAAAAGTTTCAATGTTTAGTATTGGTTTAACTCTCTACCCCTTGAAAGTAGACTAGAAGTAACCCTTAAACGACCTAAGCTCTTTTCTGAACCGAACAATCAGTTTCTGGGTTTCTGTCATATTTCAGGGTTGCTTACATAGCAAAATTACTGTGTCTATATGAGAAGTAAGTGAGGGTGGTCTTGACGGCTATCTTTGAAAAGAAAAAAAAAACAGTAAAAACTAATCTAATGGTCATCAAATCATGTATTTATTGATACATATCATATACTGAAATGTCAAAACTCATAATTAAGGTTACTGGTGAGGTCGTTAAATGTCGTCTTAATAGGGTAAAAAGTTAAAGGGTGGTTATTCAACTTTGAAATCTTCCATGAGGCTGTGGTTTTTTGTTCAGGACAATTCTATCATCAATGTATTTATAATATTTCGCACCATTCATAAATCAGTGAGGGAACACAGTACAATTCAACAGCTCTGCAAACTAAAGTCTCCAAAATGACCATAAATTGTTATTAACAACTTGGTAAAATGGTTTAGTTATTAGTGATTAACATGCAATCAACTTCAAGTTATCTCTTAACCCATCAAAACACACTGAGACACCTGAATGTCTCAGTTCTAGACTAACTTTAGAGTCTCACCAAGTAAGCATGTTCCTCCTTTGCAGGAAGTCCTAGGTACCTCTCCGAGAATGCAGCACCTTCAAACAGTAGAAAATTTTTTCTCTGATAAATTAACAGCCTCTGAGCTGTGACACAATTTTCGTAGCCCGGTTACATGAATAGTTAATGACAAGATCTCTGCTCACTGTAAAGCCTGAAGTCAGTTATTGGTGCCACAGCAGCTGAGCACTGGAAGAGCTTATCTGTTGCTGCCAACATCTTGAGAGTTAAATAACCACCAAATGCCTGTATTGAGAAAATGAAACGTGTTAACATCAATTATATCTGCAATGAGTTTCATCCAAAGGAAATAAATGTCTAAAATGAAAAGTGCCATAACCTTTCCATAGAGGGCCATCCGGCGATCGTCTATATAAGGCAGCTGCATTAACAACCTGCGGAAACAACGTAAAAGACCTTTAGTTTTTCAATTACCAAGATTTATTTTTATATTTAATCTATAAATGCTTCTGTTTTAGCATAATTGGACTGACTCTATAACTGCCAGATAATCTTTGACTCTCATTGAGCCAAGTTTGCGCGGATCCACAGCAGTGGTCTTCTGTCCACGGCCAACCCCGCTCCTGCCATCCACCCGGGCCAAGGCCACATTGTGCATGCTGGAGAAGACCTGAGGCCAGTCGAGGGCAAACTCCTCCGTTACAGACTGACTGCCAGGAATGCCATCTCTGAACAACAAGAGGAATAAGATCAGCAAGTGTGGCGAAATCTGTTAGTCTCGGACGAGCGATCAAAAGATTAGGGGTCACAGGTTGCAAAACAAATGGCAGCTGACATTTATCAAGCTTGTTTAATGATACTTACACAATGATGAGGAGAGGGTGCAGGTTGGCCTCATACCCCTGAGGCAGAGATAGCTTCAGGTGCAGATCTACAGAAAGGAAACGGGGCTTGAAGAAACACATTTGTCTGCATTTATTTTTTTAGTTACCAATTACATCCCAACCGAAGGACATTTTTACTATCACTCACAAACAATTAAAACGAATTACTGCTTTGGTCAATACTTAACTACAGTTGTCCCTTCCAGGCTGAGATTCTTGTTCTGCCAGTGCTCCATTGTTTCTAATGATATTAACTGATTGCTTAAGTATACTTCTTCAAACAGAGTTTAACAAATAAGTGCAGCGGTGTCTTTGCGGTACCATGGTTATCTGCTGAGAGTGTCCTGAACAGAGTCTCAGGGAGTTGTTTGTCCTCCAGAGCTTTAGACAGACGGCTGTTATCTTCCAAGACGACATACCCTGTGGAGATTAAAAGACAAACAACCCCCCCCCCCAATACTGTCTTAATGTTTTCCCCCATCAAGACAGGCGCAGCATGCCACCTGGTTCCATATCATCTTCACATAAATGGCTCTAACTGAGAGCCACAAGTAGAGGGCAGTGTTCACAAGCATGACAGTAATGGATTTACACTTAGGCTCTGCTTGAATGTATTGCTCTCTGTAGGCTGTCTGGGGAAACTGCAGACAGCCGGTGTGTATGTGTATATGTGTGTATTGCTTTACCATTACTGAGACAAGAAGATCTAACACTCACTGGAGGGTTCCTTTGTACTGTGAACCGTCACTTTAGGGATTCCCGGGCCTGTGGATTTTTCAAATTGACATTATAAAACCAACTGTCTGAGCAATGCAAGCCTGTATGTGTATAAATATGCACGTGCGTGGGTGATTTACCCAAACAGTAGAGTGTAAAGTGGGTTTGATTGGGGCTGAAAACAGCTTTATAGAAACGGCATCCATCTATGAGGTTACAGGTAATGCACTGGCGCTGAAACACTCCATCTAAGTCCACGCTTTGAAAAAAAGAGAAGAGATTATTGATCACACTTCAAAAGAACAGGAAAGTCTAAAGCAGTTTGATTTGCTCCAGGAGTGGGACAAATGACTGGGGCAATATAAAGGAAAATGTCAATGTCAAGAGACAGACTGTTCACAGAGTTGACTTTTCAGAAACAAATGGGGTTCAATAAGGTTAGACGTAAAAGTCGTTATACAGATTGCTCTGTTAGGCAGTGTTGAGTCTCTAAATGTCTCTCCACCACAGTGCTTACAAATTTCATACAGTATTAATCATAGACAAAGTTTAAGCAAGCCATCTTCCCTTCTCTATAATGGTGAAGCATTTCCCCAAGCCCGAAGGTATGTAAGCTCATAAAAAAGATATGAAAGCTAGGAGGCTGATGAGGGAACAGACAAGTGGTTTACCAGAGGTGAGATCATCTGTCTTAAATGACTCTGGCCCAAGCAGCTGGTGTGGCTCATATACAGGGAGTGCAGAATTATTAGGCAAGTTGTATTTTTGAGGAATAATGTTATTATTGAACAACAACCATGTTCTCAATGAACCCAAAAAACTTAATATCAAAGCTGAATGTTTTTGGAAGTAGTTTTTAGTTTGTTTTTAGTTTTAGCTATTTTAGGGGGATATCTGTGTGTGCAGGTGACTATTACTGTGCATAATTATTAGGCAACTTAACAAAAAACAAATATATACCCATTTCAATTATTTATTTTTACCAGTGAAACCAATATAACATCTCCACATTCACAAATATACATTTCTGACATTCAAAAACAAAACAAAAACAAATCAGCGACCAATATAGCCACCTTTCTTTGCAAGGACACTCAAAAGCCTGCCATCCATGGATTCTGTCAGTGTTTTGATCTGTTCACCATCAACATTGCGTGCAGCAGCAACCACAGCCTCCCAGACACTGTTCAGAGAGGTGTACTGTTTTCCCTCCTTGTAAATCTCACATTTGATGATGGACCACAGGTTCTCAATGGGGTTCAGATCAGGTGAACAAGGAGGCCATGTCATTAGTTTTTCTTCTTTTATACCCTTTCTTGCCAGCCACGCTGTGGAGTACTTGGACGCGTGTGATGGAGCATTGTCCTGCATGAAAATCATGTTTTTCTTGAAGGATGCAGACTTCTTCCTGTACCACTGCTTGAAGAAGGTGTCTTCCAGAAACTGGCAGTAGGACTGGGAGTTGAGCTTGACTCCATCCTCAACCCGAAAAGGCCCCACAAGCTCATCTTTGATGATACCAGCCCAAACCAGTACTCCACCTCCACCTTGCTGGCGTCTGAGTCGGACTGGAGCTCTCTGCCCTTTACCAATCCAGCCACGGGCCCATCCATCTGGCCCATCAAGACTCACTCTCATTTCATCAGTCCATAAAACCTTAGAAAAACCAGTCTTGAGATATTTCTTGGCCCAGTCTTGACGTTTCAGCTTGTGTGTCTTGTTCAGTGGTGGTCGTCTTTCAGCCTTTCTTACCTTGGCCATGTCTCTGAGTATTGCACACCTTGTGCTTTTGGGCACTCCAGTGATGTTGCAGCTCTGAAATATGGCCAAACTGGTGGCAAGTGGCATCTTGGCAGCTGCACGCTTGACTTTTCTCAGTTCATGGGCAGTTATTTTGCGCCTTGGTTTTTCCACACGCTTCTTGCGACCCTGTTGACTATTTTGAATGAAACGCTTGATTGTTCGATGATCACGCTTCAGAAGCTTTGCAATTTTGAGACTGCTGCATCCCTCTGCAAGATATCTCACTATTTTTGACTTTTCTGAGCCTGTCAAGTCCTTCTTTTGACCCATTTTGCCAAAGGAAAGGACGTTGCCTAATAATTATGCACACCTGATATAGGGTGTTGATGTCATTAGACCACACCCCTTCTCATTACAGAGATGCACATCACCTAATATGCTTAATTGGTAGTAGGCTTTCGAGCCTATACAGCTTGGAGTAAGACAACATGCATGAAGAGGATGATGTGGACAAAATACTCATTTGCCTAATAATTCTGCACTCCCTGTACAGCTGATGCAAAAATGTGCAGCTACTCTTTCTTAGCTTTATTTGATAATTTTATAGAAACATTAATGACCCCCACATGATATCCTGCTAACATTCCCACTAAACATCGCACCACTTTCTTTGGTTTTAAGTAAAGTATCTTGACAGCTATTGCCCGGATTGTGATAAAGTTGGCTTAGACATTTATGTTGCATTTGAAATAAATTAAAATTACTTTGGTCATCCTCTAATTTCTCATTTAGCAACATCCTGAGGCAAAAATAAAAAATTAAGTCTGTCACGGTTTATGGCCAAGTTCCCAGAGCATTAATGACATTTCCATCAGCCTCAGCTGCACTTTGTGTTATCTTCTAATTAGCAAATGTTAGCAAATAAGAACAGCCTCACAGAGCTGCTAACAGAGCAGCAGACTATAGGTCTAATTATATGTTAGAACAAGTAATGTTAATAAGCTAAATATCTAATTACCCTGACTACTGCCACAATGTTGCACAAAATCTGCATCAGGTCAGTGTCTATGACAAGCAATTTTAACACTTAAGTGACCTTTTTGTAGTTTCATTTTATGTATCAATAACTGCATTTCTCCTAATGCAACGTTTAATCTTGAAGGTTCCACAATAACATGACTTGCTATAGCAATATAAAGTACTGTAAAGTAACTTTTATATTTTTGGGTGTATTTTCGACATCCTGAATTAACATTCTGGACCTAGACATAGAAAAACAGGTCTTTGGTCAAGAGTCAGGTAAGCACTTTGAAAAACAGCTGAAAGAGCAACAGCGATGAATAATAAGAAAAAAGTAAAACAAAGGACTGATGGGAGTTAAAAGATCAGAGAGGTTAGGAGGTGCTAATTCATACAGTGATTTTACAAACAGGCAATAAAATCTTTACATCAATACTAAGATCACCTGTGAGGAAATGCAGAGAGGTGAATATAGATAATACGTCTTAATTAAATATGCATTTTTTAGGTGACTGCAAAGACTAGCTGCCACGTACATAAAGAATTATACAGCCAGTGTGAAATGAATGAGGGAACCACCTTCTTAAAGTCAGAGAAGGAAATGAAGCTAAGAAAATGATTCTGACAACTGATAAGTTTATTTTCATTAAATGAAAATATTTTTTTTTGCAAAGGATTAATGGTAGCCAAGGTCACCAAAAGGCATGAGACAACAAACAATGTTAAAAGCAGGTTATTCAAAACAGCCAGAAGTGAGGCTGCGAAATTTTAGTTGGTTTTGGAGTACATCTCTAATTAGTAGTTGAGCTGAGAACTACTCTTTGTGTTTTTGGAGTGGTTTTTAATCTTTCATTCATCTTTCAATGGTTTCAAACATCACTTTAAACAGAGGCTCCGTATCAAGGTCTGCCTACCCTTTGGGTCCCTGGGCCTTTACCCCCATTCAAACCATTATATATCATAATCCATTACAAACCATAATTACAATTTCAGATCAAACATTACCTGTAAAGGTGTCTGCTCTGTCTGGATTCCTCTGTGCTCAGGAAATAGCTGAGGAGGACAAAAACAAATCATAGTTATGGCACGTTACTCACAGTATAGTCCTAGCACTGCAGATAACATCTGAGAGCCCCTACTTCATCCTAATTATTCCAGATATCAATAATTCATGACAAAAATCTATTTACAGCTATTTACATACTCCAGCATGTAATAAAAAAATCAGCCATATTTATTTTCTAAGGCAGAATTAGAAATGATGATTTTTCTCACAGTACAGTATTTCTCATGCTTACCATCCACTCCTGTATAAATGTAATCATAGGATTGTACACTTGTGTCAAATGTAAGTAGAACACTGTAAGTCAGAACTACTTGTCTTCAGGCACAAAGCAGCTACCTGGGGGCTTTGAGACTGAAAATAACTGCCTTTCTTTGCTTGTCTGCCATGCTCACACCTCAGTCAATCAGTTCATGTGGGGTTTCTGGCCCCAGCAGGATAAAGACAGATTTAAGCAATAATCTGCTCTGGTCCAGTCTAAGTAATCCTTTACGCTCTTCAGATTCGATGCAATGCCTTCCAAAGTCAGAGTTAAAGCTGTTTCCTTTGGGGTATTTAACCGAGATCAATCCTACATGTTAAAATGGCATTTTAGTTATTTTTAATTACAATCACGTGTGTTTGGCCTGATAAAAGAGCCTGCTCCCCAGAGGTTGACACATCTAGAACTTATTCTCAGCTCACAGAGCATAATTATGGCCAGTGTTCGACTCTACTATACCCGCTGTCACTTGTGTGTTCATGGTAAGAAGCAGGGCACTGATAAAGCCTTATTCGCCCCAGTACCACACATACATTTTTCCAGCCTTCTCGTCTAGGGCGCAGAGCACGGTGACGTCCCAGCTCCCTGATGTCAAGAAGCGAGGAGGGACAGAGGGGATGGCAGGCTGCGTTAGACAGACACAGAGATGAAGAAGTAGACACCTTTGCTGACTAAAAATAGGCAGAAGGATACAGCAAGAATGCGCCAGAAGACGACAACAAACACGAAGAAAGGGTCATGAAGTTCAGTCGAAGAAACTGACACAGAGGGAGGTGCAGGCAGAGTACTTATAATTGTTACGTTTTTTGGGGGAACTAAAGTTAAAGAGATATAGGAGAGAAACCTCAGAATATGAGCCCAAAAACTACAAAGGTGTTAACTTTGAAAAGATAATTTTCTCCTGCATAGTTTATGTTTCTTATAAAGCATCATTAAACATGTTTAATTACCCTGCTCAAGATGAATGAGCTGTAAAATGGAAATAAACTGCAAAGATAAAAACAGCGAAGGACCAAGAAAATATTAATCTGCAAAATCACTCCGGGGATAAAGACTCAATTGTTTGTATAATTAGGGGGGAAATAAATGCAATCAAATAGCTTTGCCTGTGAAAGAAATGGAGGAGACGGTGAGAAAAACACACTTTAGCTTCTATGCTGAAGAGATTAGCAATCACAGTGTGGGCCTTTATGTGACCTCCCCCAAATGTTAACAACAGCTTATTTTAAAAACCTCCCAAAACTGACCTGGGCTGCAAGACCAGCAATGTGGCGAAACTCTCCACGAGCACCTTGTTTTGCTGGCAGGATGGTATAGAAAACAGAGCCGTCTGCTGAAAACAGTGGCACATCCTGCCAAGGAAAGGACACAGTCAAAAGAGAGACAGAAGAAGAGGAGTGAACAGATTTCATAGGACAAAAGAACAACATACCTGTCGCTGGTTTTGCATTATGTCCATGGCCATCTTGTGTTTCTGTGAATTTTAATTTCAGATAAGGTAGAAAAACATTAGTTATATGAGTTATAAAGTGCTTTATACCAATAAAAAAGAACTAAAGCAAATAAAAATAGCGTAAAAATAGAAATTGTTGTGGGTTAGGGTTCAGCTTTTATTCTTTAGACTTTTTAATTGAATAGAGTTACCCGAGGCTCTCAGTGTATTAGAGATAGATAATAGTAGAGGAGAGGGCAGTAAACACTGAACAAATATGGATTACATTCTTTCAACTTTTCTCTAATGTTTACTGTTTTTTCTTTAGCCTTCAGGATTAGTCAATTCTGTTAATGTGTTTTTATTATTGGGCTCCAGTACAGCGTGCTTTAGCGCAACCTCTGATAACACATCGTCTGACTGTCACACACAAGTCATTCTAGCTCCCTTTCCTCTTCCTTTAGGCCAGCTTTCTTTTGATTGCTTGCCCCTCACAAACACAGGGTCTGAACTGTATGGGCGGGGCTTTTGTGCTCACACAGAAAAAAAACTTCGAGAAACCAAGCATTTAGAGCACTCTAGTACGTCAGGATTTGGCTTCCAGGGCTATGCAAAAGTCTTGAGCCACCCCTCAATTCCTCATATTTTTCTGGGAAAATGGGAAATAGATGCAGCAATGTACTGAAACATGCAAACATAAATAGAAATACAGTATATATGTCAAAAACATAATTTGTTCTGGTATTGAATGGTGGATCAAAATCTGTACTTTTCTGTGTTCATAATTCAGTTTCGATAAGATCTCCAACACCCCTGGCTGAAGGGCAGCCCAAAACCATGACAGAGCCTTCACTGTGTTTTATAGCTGCAGACAGTCACTGTTTGATCTCCCACATGACCCCTTCTATACATACTGATGACAATACAAACCAAACATTTTGAATTTGTCTTCATCAGTCCACAACATGTTCTCACTCCCAAAGCTTAACATTTTACGCTAGGTGACAAATCGTCAATATATTACGCTTCTGGCCACCCAACACGTCCCTGGATTACGAGACTGGAAAAATGAGGAAACATGAGAACCGCTTGGAATGAATCTACACATTTACGTTTGTTTTACTTAAATGGCTTTGGGAAACACTATCTAACATCGTTAAAGTGCTGTTTAAGGTTAGGGATAAGGTTATGGTAAGGGCTGGAATACATGGCTGGAACGTATATTACTGCGGGAGTGTCACTCTACTGGATTACATCCATAACTCGGCGCGTAGCCTGAGAACACCTTTCACGTTCCTCAGGAACACCACGGGACGTGACAAATCGTCATTATATTACACCTTGGGAGTGAGTCCCATTTCTTCTATAACTATCAGACTGTAGTGATGATGATTTGAACCAAAATTTTCAAAATCGAATCCACTGGTTGTAACTTGACAAACCTCAGACTTTTTCCTCTTTTTCTGTTTCCTTTCCTTAAAAAAAACTGTTGACAGCTACCCTTCCACTGAGACCATTTCTGATGAAGCTTCAGTGAACAGTAGATGGATGAACTGAAGGGCCAGATAGATCTCTTAAGTCCTGTGTCAGGAGTTTGCTGGATTTTTCCCCACAATTTCCTACGTACATGACTTTCTGTTCATCTTCTGTAGATGGGAAATGAGAACAAATTGTGCTTCTCGGGACAGGCTGCTAGTAGGAAAGTCCCCAGAGATACAAGTAAATTTGTTTATTTGCTAAGTTGTCTGCTATGTGTAGACACAGCAGTGGTTCATCCCTTGAATTAGATGCCGCTTTTATGCTCGAATGATTCATCGTTCTGTGTTACTTGCCTTAACAAACAAACAGAGATTCTTCTGAAAACGGTCAGGTACAAGGATCGAACGGAAAACGAAGGAAAAATCTGCCAATGTCCAAAGAAAAACTTTAAAAGACATTACTTTGAAAACCTGGAGAACTCTTGCTCAAGACCTCTTCAAAAAGTTACAAGCGAGTCTGGCGCCTTGGAAGCAAAATGAGGCCTCGCTTAACATTTTTTCACAGTACTGTATACATGACAAGAAGGAAATATTAAAATAGGTCCCCTTTAATATAATATTTTGGAATATTGAAGTGAGATCTGTGAGGATTTATAGAAGAGCAGCAGGACTAAAATACTGCAGTACATCACTGAAAATTCTTCTCATGCAGCAAATGACCTTAAATATTAATCCAGTCAGTGGAGATTTGGGAGCTTAAGGAAATCAATCTTAACTCCCAACACTGTGTAAATGAAGCAAAAAATTCTATTACAGCTGTATATTGCAGCAGAAGGTGCTCAGATTACTAATGTGGAACAAGTGATGACCGCTCACCTCTGAGCATGCCCCTGTGGTAGCCTCGCAAACACAGAGCACAGATTGGTTCTGTGCACGATTCAGCCAACGAACTGCGAGCCGGGTGCTGCTGATCCAAGTCACCATGGATATGTAGTTGTCTCTGAAGAAAAAAAAAAAGGATACATGAAGAAAGTATTAGAAAGTGGTGCAAAGAAAATGAAAGAAAAAAGAAAACAAGCAAGAAAACTTTGGACACGTGTAATAATTTCAGGTGTGCTTTGAATCCTTTAAGGCTTATTCTGTTTCTGCATTTACGAAGGTGTGCTACCTGGCTCTGAGGGAGTCCGGAGGCATCATTTCCAGAGTGTGAGCTGGACCATACAGATTCACCACAAACAGACTGACTGATGGGATACTTGAGCCAGCCTGTGAAGAAAAAAACCCCCAGATCAAATAAACTTAAAAAATAGGAAGTGGATGCTCTTTATAAAAGCAAATCTTTTTAGTCATGCTAACAGCAAGAGACCAACTGCACTACTTGTCAGTCCGCTATTTTGGTTCAGGCTGAGGCACAGCTGCTTCAGAAAGACCCTTTGTTTTTCCCTTTATAGTTTATTTTATAGTTTTGCAAACTCAACTTCAAATGATGAAACAGTGGCATTTTTCTAAACTGCCTACACTTGGTGACTGCAAAGTGCTTAGCTGTTTTCACCTTAGGGTAAGGGAAGAGCACATTGGAGGGGTAGAGACCACCTAAGAAATGAGGTATTTCCATCACAGGTGTAACAGAGTTGTTGATGCTGAGGTATGCAAGGCGGGCACCATCCACAGACCACCAGTGGGCGGCATATTGTAGCAGCACCTCCTCTGTTTTGGAAGAAAGAACTATTGTAATATCAAAGTAAAAGTATGAATCTGGAGAGTCAGCAGGTGAACTACATTTTACCTTCATAAGTCCAGTCAGAGAGGCCGTTCACCACGTATTGCTCCTGGTCAGTGGATGTAAGACGCAGGGGTTCGCTGGTCACACTCGGTTTGTAGTAGATATCTCCGTCAAACACAAAGGCCTGGCATGAGCAGCACAGACAGAAAGCACCGCCAATCCATTATCAAAGACAGCAAGGTTGCAGACTTCATTGCTGGCTCCATGATTCGAGAAGCGGACACCCTCCAAGAATGAATGAATCATTGGCTAGCACACACACGGGTGGGAGCCAATACATCTTCACTTGCCAGTTAATAAGCTGCAGATGAGCACTGACATAGCAGCAAAAGCCAATTACATTGCAGGTCAGGTAGATGAATTATATATGTATTATGAGCACAAAACCCCATTACAGTGCGACAGCCACTTCAGGTGGAGTTCATTGTATAAGATATTGTACCTTTGACGTTATGATGAATAAAATTATGTCAAATGGAGGATGCATTCAGCATTATTATGGATTTTAAAGGGTGATAAACACTTCCACCATACTGACAGTTTTAATTGATGCAGATGACAACACATGAGTAAGGCCCTCACTTACCAGCTGGTTCCCCTGAGGTCCCCAGGAAGCGTACTGTAATGCTGCCTTCTGCCCCTCTGGAGGGCTGAGTTCAAGCAGATCCCTGAAACACACACAAAAACTCAAACATAAGCCCTCCATTAGGGAACACTCTCCTCTTTGAAGCCATCCAAGGTCCATCCAAGCCCTGCCCTTGAGGGAGCTACTGCACTGTGAGAACAAAGGGGCAAGATGCAGAGAGGGAAAATGAAACAGAGAACGGGGCTGATTCATGCAAGAGTGCAACATTTCTTTTTCTATATTTCTAGCCACAATTTTTTTTTTATTTCCTTAGGACAGGCAAACATTTTTCTCCAAGGCATACTCGGGCAATATTGCAGGTCCTCCAGAAATCCTTTTCAGAATAACTCCTTAGAATTTCAAGGGATCACTCACAGCTACCAAAGAGTTTTTTTTCCCAGAGATAATGCTGAATATGATTCTCAGGCAGTGAAATCTGAAGTACAATACAAACCTTATAGAGCCTGGAAAGAACACTGACAAATGAATGGACGTCTGAAAGAAACATGAAATACTGATTCAAATGAAACACGCTTTGGGGAAAGTTTTTTTTTTTTCCAATCTGCAGGTCTGCTTGCATTGGTAACGCTCATGCCCAGTGCAGCCCATGCATTAGCAGTGATGATTCCACCTACCCATTAGCCACACTGTAGATAGCATAGGAGGCAGTGAAGGACTGAGAGAACACCTGAAAAAGGTAGAGGATATCATGCACAAAGGTGTGCCGCACATAGATGAAAACACATACTTTAGTGCTCACACATGCACCTGTGCATGTACAATTAAGGTTAAATGCAAATGAGACAAATATTATGACAAAAAAATTTACAGTTAAGCATAAGCAACAAGGAGCTGTGTTTGCATCATCTAAGTGCTTCTGAAATCACTGCAAAGACTGAGTCGAGTGGCTTATTACCTGGCAAAAAGGAGCAGCATAATTTTATTCTAAAATTACAAAGGTAAAGGTTTAGTGAGCCTATAAATATTTCACTGATAATAGTTATATTTAATATTATTCTTTCACCTAAGCTAGAATGGAAGTGGAAAATTGCTTCGTGCTGTAAGTATTTGCATATGCAATCATTTTTAGTAGATGGTATTTTAACACTCCCCTACTTTTTATTGAGCCAATCACATCTTTACGTCTTAGTGATATGGACTTAATTTGCAGGAGTCATTAAACTACTGGCAGCAATTTCATCCATATTACATCATAACTGAGATCTCAAGTGAATAAGAGAAAGTTGGAACTTCAAGACTGAGCAAAAGAGACAACACCAAAGACATGGCATGTGAAAGAAAAGCACAAAAAACGAAGACAGACATTCCCATTAAAAAGCATCGTTAAAGTTAATATCCTTCACACTGAGCTCTATAGTGGCTGGCAGCTGTGTCGCAAACCTTAGAAAAGCATCAGAAGCTCTGAATACCGTAATTAAATTAACACGTGTGTGAATGAATTTGTGCATGTAAGTGTGTCTCTTAACTGCAACTGATCAAAGCAATAGCTAATGAATTCAAGGCAAAATATTGATTTGCACACCTCTTTTTTCAAGCAAAGAGTTGGAAGCAGCATTTGCCCACTGGCCACTAAGGGCCCCAGCCACCTGGAAAACCAATCCCTAAAGAAATTAAATGTCACATCCTCTATACAACACATTTAGTAGTGAAATTGGATTTTTCCCCCCCTTCTTCAGTGCTGTCTGTTGTTAGAAAATGCATGAATGGAATGACACAGCGCTAAAGCTGCAGGGATAAAGGAGTGGAAATAAATTTTAAGGCTATCTAAATGAAATCGAAATCTGATTGTAGCATAACGGCTGCGCATGAGGGGCTATGCATTAGGTGGAGCAGAAAAAGAGCTGTTCACAACACAAAACAGGAGCAAGAAAAGGAAGAGGATAACATGAAGTGGTGGACACAAAAGGGAAAGTGAGGGAAGAAGATAGAGCGAAAGAAGCAGGACGTTAAAGGGGGGTATCAGTCTTCAAGACCAAAGGGGGCAGCACTGCTGTCAGCACCATACCAAATCAGCTATTTGTGATTTGTTTAGAAACCAAAAGATTCTGCTTGTGATTTAACATCACTGGCAGATTCTGTGTTATTGTGTGTTTGTGTGATAAATAGAAAGAGAGAGTGAGAGCATCTGTCATAAAGAGGCAGAGTGAATTCTAATGTGGTTGCCAGTAACATATCATAAATCCTCCAGATCGCGCTGCCTGTCAGCCTCCCTTTTACTACCCACCCCCTCCATGCTGCCAAATAGGGGGGTATGGGCACAACACATGATTACATTCTCAGAAGATATTGCTGGATAATGTGACAAAGACTGCGTATAGAGATTACAGCACCCTTTGCAGGAGCACAGTTATTAGAGGCTTTTGTACAACGTAAAACTCACAATGCGGAGATAATAGCATCCTTCCTTCTCAACATTGTTCCTGCCTCACATGCATTACTTAGCAGCCCCACAATGCGCTGCCTTTGATACAAGCACCCATCAGGGTTTGCTGCAGAGTGCAGACCCAACTCCCTTTGCTTTTTATTTGTCCCGAAACTACACTGTCTTGGCAGGCACCGGTTCATTTGCCTCCGCTCATCAATCCTGGTAACCTCCACCGCCGCTGAACTATTTCAACATCACTCATTTGAAAATATGTACGTCCTCTCTTTTTTGCCTTTCTGCTCTCACACACACAGAAAAGAAACTCTTAAGGCAAACCTCTTTAATTCAAATAAGCTTTAAGAAAAGATATTTTCCTGTAGGAAACCTGCTTTCTCTTGTTCCTATGTGTGGAAAAATTCCCTAACTGACTTATGCACATACTCTCTTATCAAAATCCATTTATTTTCACTCACGGGGCACAACTCTCCCCTAAAGCCTCTAGAGGTAGTACAAAATCCAAAGAAGCCTTTTAACTTCACACATAGCCTGCACACACATTTCTCTCTCTACTACAGCTCTCTCCTTCTAGTATCTCGGACATTTTTGGGTATTCTTTCTGACTAATTTCAACTGGGCATTGTATCTAAGGTCAAGCGATGCATATCCCATTTGCAAACTCCTCCATCGTTACTGCCTTTCCCCACTGCTTTCTGTGTTTTTTCCTCTCATTCCCTACCACTCTCTGCTCTTCTGAATGGCAAAGCCGCTGCCTGGCGCAAACTGCTTCAGTCAGCACAAATCCCCCCAGAGATAGACAGAAAAAAGTGAGTGAGAGTGAGGAAGATGAAGCAGGAGAAAGAAGGAGGCAGCCACAGAAAAGAGGAGCATGGAGGAGGAATAGCCCCCGCGCACACTGACAATATGCCAGCCATGCTAACACCGAAATTCATTTCTAAATAAACAAACGATTCCAGGTGCCATGCCCATTGTCTCTGATTTCTTCGAGTATGCGCACACTCTGAGCATACAGATTAGACAGGACATTTCCTGCTGATATCAAAGGAAGTATGCTAATGACATAGAGTACAATCAACCAAAGCAACCCACAATCTGGGCACGGATCTGAGCCCTTTCTCTATAGAAATGTGTGAAAGCTGATTGAATCCCCACTAACCGCTCAATAATTTAGTTAGAATGGATGCACTGTGTTTGTGATGATGCTGTAACACAGCAACAGGCTCATTCGTTCCCCCCACACAGAGAAAATATGATACGCAGTGATTAGAGCAAAAGCAGGTCTCTAAAGGAAACCCAGAGAAATGGAAAAGGCTGTGAGGTTGAATAAAGAAGAGACCGAGAAAGCATAAAAATCTGTTTAAAGATTGTTAATAAAAACTCAGGGAAATGTGCTGAGAGCCTTCATTTCCTCCTAATTCTGTTTTCTTGCCTCATCGATTACTTGCACATTACACAACTTGCCTTCCCTTTGAAGAAAGATTCACCTATTTATTAACCATGAGGGCATTTAGAGAGCGAGGTGGCTGGTGGGGGGTGGAGAGACAGAGCTACGCGGTGTTAAAAGTAAAGTGAGCAAAAGATCTGTGTTTTGTCCACCCCAGCGCTGATCTGAAACCACCTGCAATCGAGATTCTCATCAGATTCTCATTAAAATTCTCCCCCCCGAACAGGCAGAGGTGATTTCATTACTGCAGCTCCAACTTCACCTCTTCATCTCCTTGATCTCCCCATCCCCCATTTGCACTTGTGTGCTAAACTCTTCACGGCAATCACATTCAAAGCTTTCGTCAACTCCCTGCACGTCGTGCCATCAGCCAGTTTAAATATTCAGCCCCTCATATGTTAACCCAGTCATCGAGCAAGTGGTGTTATGGAGCTGAAGATTGCTGCAGTTGCATAAATGAGCTCACTCACACGCTCTTTTCTCCTCACACTCCTTCTGTTCTTGCTCTTCTCCTCCTTTTTTCATTGAGGCTCTGATCAGGATGCATGTCACAATTGTTTTGCTTGTCACTAGTGGCCTGTCAGACATATGGTGGTCTGTGAGTCATAACAGCTTGTCTTTGATACTAGTGGATAATTCATGACCCTGGATAATTTCTGGATAAGATTGATGATTCTTTCTGGGGAAGTCTGAGCCCACTTGTCATTCAAAGGCAACTTACCGGTCGAATGTTATATGCCAAGAGGACAAACCTCTTGTCTGCAGAGACTTGGAACTGAGTAGTGGTCAGGTCCTACAGAAAAAAAGACAACAACGCTTTATTAGAAAATCTTCTTTTTCATTCCAAAATGTTTTAGAATATTTAGTATGATAATTCCACTTTTAACTGCCTTCTATCATTTCAAATAAAGCCTGTGACTGTTATTCTCTTATGTCGAGTTTTTCCTCAAGAATCATGTCTGTCTTGTACTTTCTATAGCTGCTTTACTGGAAACATAAGCAGCCCATTATTATGATGCCAATGATGCATTTATAATCTTGTGATTTCTGCACATCTTGCAAATGCCACATAAAGTCACAGAGGAAAGAATATGATGTAAATAACGTGGAAATAATGTGTATTTCCAAGTGACATTGAATAAACTGAGCCACACACACACATTAAACTTAATAACCGTCATATATCCTGTAATTTTTGTTTCCTCTGTTATGTACGGGGTCTCCAGCCTTTCATGTATCCAGAACAAAGCCAAAGACCATCAAATATAAATTACTGCCGACAGAATATCAGTCTTCTTTTCACTATTGTGGTATTCACTAAAGCAAAGATTTCTTCAGTCCTTTTATTCAGTGTGTAACAAGACATACACAGAAAACTCACAAATAACCAAAACTACTGTTTGTTCTTCAGTGCTATAAAAAAACTACATAGCTTCAAACATTAATCTACTGTTCTCCTTCACATTTCGACAGTTTTAATGTTTTATATTCTAGTTTAAACCAAGTAGCTGTGGAATGATTATAGTTTAGTTTAAAATTCTCGAGGACATTTTCTAGCTAAAACTCCATGTCACACTAATTCCTTCTTCAGATTACTGACTTCCTCCATAATTCATGACTTAATTAAAAATCCCTCTTACAAGCCAGTTTTGTGTCATGAGAACATGTGCCATGTGTTTAAGGCTTGTGGTGATCTACCTTTTGCTTCCCATGTTTTTGCTTTCATTAAAATCTTCATTCACTCGTTCTTCATTGTCTCTTATACAGGTACGAAACTCTTGGAAATAAAGTTTTACTGATTTAATGTGAATTTTTTATCTTAAGGATAGACACTATATTTAGGTGGATCTGTCTCAGCGATTCATTTATTTAAGGAAATCCTGTATACTTCTTCATACCAAAAAAAAAATCTTTTTCTGGAATTGGAAACAGCAGCAAAGATGAAAAAACGCTCTATCCCAAAACCGAGGAGTGACTTCTCAACCTGACAGCACAGCCCTGCTTTAAGCTCCTCGGCAATGACCCACATAAGTCTGTCAGTGTCGTGCAGAGGCGGCGTTCAAAATGATGCCCCTGCTTGGGAAATTCTCTTTGAAGGCTCGTATTGAGGGCTCACAGAGCAGCCAGATTGGGGGGGAAATTAGACGATGCTGTCACTCTTCCAAATCTTTTTTTGTCTGAAGTGTGGGATGTGGAGCAGTGGGAAATACAGCATACTCCTCTTAATCTGTCTATTTGAGCATCAGTGTGCCCAGGCCTCTGTGGATATGATCAATTGTGTATACTGAAATCTATTCTCTAAAAGTTTAGTGTTCCTGTTACTCACCAGGGAGCTGTTGTCCAGCAGAGTTGTGGTTAAGTTGCTGGTGAGGCTGAACGACAGGACATGTCCCTCTCTGGTGCGAAGAGCAACTTCGTTCTCTAAAAAAGGTTGAGTTCACAGAAGAAGGTCTTGTGCTATTAGAATGAAAGAACAGAACCAGTGGCTGCTGCTGCAAACCAGTGGCTCAGTCGTAGGTGACCTCATTAAAGAGGCGTCAGACTGTTATGAGGACTTTATCAGCGAAGAGTGATTTGTGAGTGAGAATATGGATCCTTACCATTCAGCCATGCCACACAGGGGTTATGAATCTTAAACTCTTCACTCTCGAGGTCCTCCATCGTGAGATGGGAGCGAAGTAACAAGTGAGACTCGTCTTTAAAAGCAAAGAGACAGCGATAACTAGCACATCAAAAACTCTCCTTTGTTTACAGAAATGCAAAGTCTGAGGCTTTTCGCAACTTGGCCTACATTCCTGCTTCATCTTGGATTCATATTTTGCATTCTCAAAGTTACTGTTATTACTTTGCAACACTCAGTGGAATATTTTTCTATAATGTAAAGATGTGGGGGGGGGGGGGGGGGGGAATACCACTGCGAGCTTGCCTAAAATTATCAGTAGTAAAACAGACATCTCAGTTCTTTAAAGGGACTCAGTATGGCATCAAGCACAGTACAGCTACAGGAGCATTGGTGCATTTAATATTTGTACGTGTCATTACCATATTATGAGCACAGGGCAGATGTCTCATTACCACATAAGTCTCAGTTATGGAGCCATGTTGCTATTTAAATTTAATAATAATTCTCCTCTCTTGAAGAAGAACATTAAGAGTTTCATGAGACTCCAGAGCTGTCCACGCAGAACTGTCAGTAGCCCAAAGAAGCCACCTCACTCAGTCATTGAATTCAGTATCTGAGTGTGTGAACTAATCTATTATTAACCATCACAAAATCGGACCTTTAAATCATAGCACGGTGCTTTAAGGGATATTTTGGCATTTGAGTCAACTCATTTTATGATTTCCCATTAAACATTTTCCACGTTATTAAATACCTACCACTACTAAAATGCAATTTACAACAACGCCCTTTTCCTTTTTTTGGACTCCTTGGATCTGAATTTATATTCACTGAGCAGCCTTGGGGGAACCGCTAACCTGGCCTGACAATAACAATCTACCAGCAGCTCTAATTAACAGAATATATCCTGTTTGTTTAATCTTTACTGAATCTAAAATGTGAACCCAAGAAGTCACTTTTGGAGGTTTTTATGTGTGGCTGTATAGCTTCCTGAATTTGTCCTTGGTTGCCTGGCAACTGCTCAGGGCCAAGAAATTGTCACCTAGATTAAAAGCCCATAAACGGTTGTATTTACACTGTGTTTTTTTGTCAGGATTAAACAAACAGGAGAGACAGCGTTAATTAGTGAGCTTTAGAGGTGCTGGTAGCAGGATCCTGTTACTTCTGGAAAGAAGGCAGCTGGTTCCCTCTGTTTCCAGTCTTTATGCAACTAAGCTAAGCTGCCTGGCTGCTGGCCTCATATATTCCCTGCCCTACTATAGACTTATGAGGAGTGTATGCAATCAGCACTGCATTAGAGGTTCTTCAGTGCTCCTTAAAACATCTCCTCTCTGCTATGATACTTTTACTTTCCCCAACATCTTTCCAACTATTTTAACCATTTTCTTTGTCCACATTCTTACCAGGTGTGAGGAGGATGACGGAGAGAATGACCAGAGACATAACAGCCAGGATCACCACCATGGCGATCCCTATGCCCTTCCAGTTCCTCGGAGGACCATCTGTACTGCCCAGGTCCTTATGTTGAAGAGTACACAAACACACAAACACTGTGATGAATGCGAGAACAGCTGAGGAGGAGGACATTAGTGCTGCTTCATTTCCACAGTCACAGAAATTTCTCCCCGACAGGCTCAGGGGGCTAAGACCAGCCTTCAGCATCGTAGGGCTCTCACTGAATTACACCAATTTTCCATATGAGAACAGCACAAAATTGCTGCATATGAGAGATATGTCTTTAATTGCGGCACCAATTTTAGCCACGCCGTAATCTTTTTTTTTTTTAATCTCTGCTTCATTTCACCTGTTACATGACTGATGGGCCATGTGGTACAGCTAAAACAGAGGGGGATGAGTTAAAGAGTTGTTGAGAAATGTGTTGTTCTTGTGTGCATTTACAGAAAAAAAAAAAAGCTATCTCATACTTCACCTCCAAAGAGCTGCTTTGTGTGTCGGGATTTAAACAACAGCACTGGATGAAGTTGTTAAAAAGGCAATAAAAGGAAGAAGAAGATAATATGATGAGCAACAAACAACAAGCAATTACCAAGAGAAAAAAATTTCAAACTTTAGATTCTAGTCCTCGTGTACCCTCCGAATGCAATCAGGGGAAACTGATAGAATGAGCCTGCATCAGTATCAGTCACAATTAAACACAATTGTGTGTGATTCCCAGGCTGTGCCCTGCTCCCCTCATAATGAGTTGCTGGCACTGCTGGAGCCGCGCGTCTGCTGGAGTGTGAAAGTTCAGTCACAAAGCAGCCATAAAACTCAGGCTTCATTATTTCTGTTCACCCCTTTGACTTGGCCCTCAAAACCTCGCTGGTCCTGATCACTTTCCACCAGGCCGTCAAGAGGAGGGCAGCGGAAGAAGGGCATATGGGGTGCACTGGTCAACAGATTGCTGCTCTTCCGTGCTCCCTGCATGACACCAGATGCCCCAGTTCTGTGTCATACTATCCTTGACATCAGCCTTTAATATCTTAGTACTTTCTCTCCCCCACACATGTGCCCTTACCTCTCCTCACTGTCTGATTTAAAGCCCCCGATACTTAGTCTATTAAAGTGCTGAATACTGACGATGTACTTACATAGCTGGAGTTAAAATGTCTGGAAAAACTCATTTCCATGTGTGTTTCTTTATGGGTCCAACTGCATCAAAAGTTTAGTTCTGAGACACATTTTTTACCACTTTCTAAAACATTACATGTTTTCACACTCAGGGCCTGCCAGCACAAAACTCCTGCCAAGGTCTCATCTTTAATAGATCTGCTCGGCTGCAGTATCGTAACATGTTCAAAATTAAAACCAGTTACACCTGAAGGAACAACTTGTAAGCGATGTTTGAACTTTCTGTGCAGGCCAGAGCTAGGAGATTAATGTTGAAGGCTGTGTATCTCCTGGCTGGTCTAACACTGTTTTATCACATTCTCCTGCCCTCTTGGTTAACAATTGCTCCCCAGTCTGCTTCTGGTAGATAAAAAACCTATAGTATGTGAAGACCTTGGTAGAGTACAGTTACTGAATCATATTGCACAGTTAGCACTTTTGACTAAAAGTTTGAAAAACTGCTATAAAAAAAATTGAAGGTCTATAACAAAACAGTGGATATGCTGTAAAATGCAGTCATTATTAAGCATAAAATAAAACTGCATTGTTATTTCAGTCAAAACAGACATTTTCAACTAAAGTCTTCACTTAACTGATACCACTACACTTTGTTTTCATTTGCACGTCCTTTCTTTCTTTATATGAGCAATATGAGACCTGGAACATCTGCCTAATGAGATGCACAGCTCTTATTATTCTCCTGAGCACAGACATTAAGCTATACTTCCAATTAAGGTCGCGCTGTTGTTAAGGCAGACAGGGAGAATCCCAGATTTCAGTATATAAGGAGTTTTGTCACGCTTGTAAATGAGGTACAGAGCAGACAGACTGAGCAGAATCCCCAGAGTGAACATTGGCGAAGCTGCTAGTGCCTACTGGCTGCTGGTCACAAAGCATGTGGGAACCTAATGCAGCACAAACTGCTGTCACAGTCGAACAGATGACAAGCTGTATGACAGACCAGGTTTATCTCAGTCAGCACCCTGACGGACAAGCAAAAATATCTCCATGTGGGTTTTCTGCTGAGCCAAACCACAACTGAATCACACATAGACAGTCTTTTTATTCAGCCTGCGTGATCCCACACGAGCTGGAGTGGAATCCGGGATGTGGTGTCAGTCAAACACCAGAGGGTGCAAGATTGCAAATCAAAGGCAATACCTCTGTGGATAACTCATCCTGAAGGCATCCCCGTGAGAGGAGTTTTGGCGAACCATGCAGAACTGAATTTGAAGAGAGAGAGAGGTCTTACATTTGCCAGCAGAGCCACAGGCTTTTCATTCAGCCAAATCATAGAATCAATAATGTGTACAAGGTCCAATGGGAAACAATTAACAGTGGGAATACAGCCACTGAGAAAACTTTTAGATAGACACTCTTCCTTAAACACTGTTTCCTGCAATATATGACAGCTCCTAAGAACCTCACAAAAACTAAGCCTGTTTTGTGCCTTCTACCATTTTGACTTAGAATTTACACTAAATAGAAGCAATTGCTTATTTACCTGCACACAAACAAACTGGCCCCCTTTCCTCAATGAAGTGCACACAAAATCAGACAATTTGAACTGTATTGATCGAGTTTGCACACTACAAAAGCAAGTCACGCCAAACACAATTACTCAGTCTGCACAGCCATGCACCACAACTGGGTTGCGCAGAATCCAGGCGGCGCTCAGAATTCATAAATTAGGCTCAGGAGACGTCCTTAACTCCATCTTCTGTGTCTTTGCGGCATCCAACAATAAATCACATGCAGGGGAATGAGGAAACCAATGCAGGCTGTTCAGGGATTCTGCTTGTAGATTTGCATACCTCCGGGCACCCACCCTACACCACCCCATCCCTTAATACTGGCCAGTAATGTTTATTGCACACAAAACATTGGAGAAGGCATCAACGAAATAACTACCAACATATAAAAGGGAGAGATGTATTGGCAGTCACATACAGCCCTCGATATAAACAAAAGCTTCCTGATTTTAAGGATTCACAATAACAGGTTGCAAGGGACATCTGCAGATAACCCACATATGCATTATCTTGTCAATATTTCCCCTTCCCTTCATTAAAAATGAAAGTCATCATTGGAGCAGACTGCTAACTTTAGCATAGTTTGAATAAATGGTAACCAAAGTGCTGTAGTAATGACATCAAGACTGATCCGTATCTAAGGCTGTCTTTCATGAACTTCAGTGCTCTAACTCACTGCACCAGAATTATGATTTTTAGTTTCTTATCCCCCCCCCCAAAAAAAACCCCACAAAAAAAACAGTAGGTGGTAGGACACCATATGGAACAGGGCAGTTCTTTTTGCCCTCGAGGCTATTACCAGACAATGCAGCAAAAGCCTTAGTGAAATGAAAGGCTGCTTTAGCCTCTACTGCTGCAAGGCTGCCCTGTCTTCTTTTCATGCTCCCCATCACACGCACGAAAATTACTGTACAAAAGGTTGCTGTACAAGGGAGCTTTTCCTCAGCGTGTCCAGCCACTCAAAGTGGCCAAGCTCCTGCCTTAGGAAATAAGCAGCATCAGTAGAAACACATGTGGGAGAGCTACGGGTGAGATATAGAGTTACAGTACAAATAAAAAAAACGAACATGCCATTTTTTAGCAAGCTCTAAAGGGATACCAGCAAATGATATACACATAATAGGTTCAGTGTAAGAGCTCCCAGTGTCATGCTGGCACTTAACCAGCGTTAAGGATAAAAAATATTGCTGTCACTGCTAGTTGCATTCCTTAATGGCAGGGATTTACTGAACCACAAACAAAGCGCTGTGTTTTTCTGACACAAATATGCTTTATTTTGTTGATGATTGTCACATTAAGTGGAATCCACAATCCACTTTGTACATTCTCTATCTAATATTTTGACACACCAACACACGACACAAGTCATTTTCACTTTTTTCTTTTCTGGTCCAAAGGCCAAGAGACAGGTGGTGCCTCGTGAGGCTGTAGATTGCAGTTTTGTAATACTAGGCTTTATATAGTGTCAATAGTATTTGAACTTCACTGACTTGAGACAGGTGAGAGTCTATAACCCAGTGAAGCAGCAACAAACCCTCTTATTGAAAATGAACAAATATTATTGTCTAATTAATTGCTTCGCATATTGATTGGAGACTGCACTGAGATGCTGTGTCACTTGCAGCTAATGGAATATTTATAAGCCTCACAGCCGTTTGTGGCCCTCTGAAAGAGACAAAAGTGCAGAAGGATTATAATAAAAGATTCTTTTAGACTATGATTTCATTAATACTTCCTCTCATCAGCCTGTAAGTAAAAGACTTAAATATTAGTGTGTCATTTAATGCCAGACATCTCTGTGATCTGTATCACAAATAGACTACGTACTAATTAGATATAATTAGACTACTCAATCTAGTCTCTTGAACACTTTCACCTTCAGGGTAGCCCTGTTCTAATGACCACTTGATTGAAACCCTTTCCCAAGAAGAGTGACAGTTTGACCTGTTCATTATTTGACTTGCCAAGATTTAAAAATGGACTCTGCTGAAGAGCAGCCAATAAAAATTCCTGAATAATTCAAGATTTATTTTTTAATTTAAGGGTTAAATTCAGAGTTTACAAATGATGCCACCTAACTTACGTGTATTTTCAATTTTACATTAAACCATTTATAATGCAACCACACTTACACACCATCGGTGAATGAAAGGCAGAAATGAATCTTGCAGATCACATCCTGTGCAATAACATTTCATGTAAATGCATATCAGTGAGCTCACAAGTTGTTTAGAGGCAAAACTGTCTACTCATGAAAATACATGAATGTTACATTTGAATAGGGAATCTGTATGGAATCAGAAATACAGATATTATGGAGTATGTGCCATAACTAGCAAGGGTTTAAAGTGTAAAAAGAAGATATTGGCTCATAATCTTTGCTCATTGACAACACATCTATGCAGCAGAGGGCTGATCAATCATACAGCGCAGCCTGCCTCTTTATCACTGTGCAGGTCCACGCTGGAGGGGACAGTCTCTTAGAACAAATTCTCACGTCTGACTGTTGGAGGAATGGGCATTGTTTCTGGTGCAGATATTTTGCTGAAAAAGTCTGCATGGGACAGAAAGACAATGTAGGAGTGACAACGACCGGACGTTAGCCCAGCCTGCACCGCAGTGCACAGAGTCAAGCCTGTCCAGGTGATGGATATTAACGAAGAAAAGTGTGAACGGGCGAAAAGGCAAAAACACCAATTCCTCACTGCACATCACAAAACACCCCCTTCTCTCACACACATACACGTGCTCTGAATCTAAAAAGAAAGAAAAAAAAGTGCGGACAAAACAAAAGAAAATGCACACATACCAGATCCGTGGTCATATTTTGTTGAGTTGTTGCAATCATTGTTATCCGCTGCAAGCTCTGCTCTGCCTCTGTAGCCTCAAAACTCGAGCTGCTGCACTGTTGTCTTGCGGAGCCTTTTCTGTATCCTCTGCTTCTTGCAAGTTTGTCCTCGGTGGGCTGGTGGTCCCCCTCCCCACACTCAACCAACCCACTCCCTCTAAACGTCTCTCTCCGCCTCAGTTTCTCTCTGGTTGGGTGCCTTTCGTTCATTCACTCATCTGTTTTTAGGCTATTAATCATGATAAAACATTGTTGGGCATGTAAATACAACCGTAGGCGACTCCAGCTGTTCAGCTTTTCCAGTCCCCCTTTAAAATGCGTAATTATAAAACAATAAAACATGTTGGAGGTGATATAAACCAGATTAACGTAAAAGCACAGGTAAAGGTTAGTGCCATAATTTAATAGCGTGACTATTGCCTCTATAAGTAAATTAAAGCGCAGTGAACGCCTATTTTAATATAAGGAGAACCACAATAGGCAAGGACCTTTCTATAGACACATTTAGCCCATCTGTCATGACTTGACTAGCTCATACACAATTATGAATATAATATGGCCAGAGAAGAATAGTATTGCTTTAAAAGTATGATTGGAAAAGTTAAAAGTTAAGGATGTGTGTTTTAGGGGGTCGAACAGAACACATTTATTATGGAAAAAGTGAAACTATTTGCACTCCTGTCGAATAGAAACATACCCATATTATAAGGTGAAGATAGTTATTTTTATAGGTTTGTTAAAAAAAAATTCAATAATAAATTATGCATAAAAATTAATAAACACAGTCTAAGCGAAAGCCCTTTGGGACGTTATGCTCTAAAAACATTAAAATATATAATTAATTTCAAGCAAAGCAATAATCAAAAATTGACACGGAAGAGTTTGATATACAGTGTAAAATTCTTAGCTGCCCTGCTGTGATCCTGGTTGTGCAGAAGGGTTCGTCCTGTTAAAAGGGAGTTGTTGTTTTTTTTCTTTAAAGTGCTTGCACAAATTGGGCTGCCTGATTTGGGGGATTTTCTCCAGAAAGCTATAGGGTCTTTACTTTACGGTATAAAGCGCCTTGAGGCGACTCTTGTCGCGAACTGGTGCTATATTAAAAACAAAACTTTAACTGAATTATGACCTCTGTTGGACACAAACAGGTTAAGGATGGTAATTATAGTTTTTGGTGTATCCGTGGCCCTGCAGATTCTGGCCATATTACTTGCTAGCATGAGCAGTGAGTGTCTGTGTTTTGACAGCCGCAGCATAACGGCATTAACAGTCCAAACTCGGAAGTCGTTATTTTTCCACTTACGTGCTCTTGGGAAAAAACACGGGTCTCTACTTTTGAAAGATATGACCGGAAGTATTGCTTTTTATTCTCATTTCTTCTTTGTTCTAAATTTATTCGCTTATTTGATTGCTAAATATTAAATGTATTATCATTAGGGTTAACACTGGATCTATAAGCAGTTCTACCCATTCTGACGCAAATCTACTCGCTTACCTGTGAAGCGACTGGCCGTTACGGGGGTTTTACTTTGAAAATACAAACACGGAAGTTGCATCTATTTTTTGCGTTCACACCCGAGCCGTCTTCATCTCTCATTGGGTAGCGGTGAAATTTGAAATGCAACCCGCTCAGTGTGGCAGTAGCTGCCGAAGGATGTGGACAAAGGTTCGAAAAGCTAACAGCTAAAAAAAAGGAAACGGAAAAAGAGCAGTGTGGTGGCTAAATATCACCGAAAGGCTTTTTTGTACAACGCCTCTCCAGGTATGTAGGTAACTGTTGCTTTCTGAATTTTGCAAATGGAGGAGATACACCACCTAAACTTAGAGCCATCGTAAACGCCATGTTGTTTAGGCAGTGTGCGGTTAATAGAACGTTTAGTCTTTCCTGGCGTCAGAAGAAAAGCAAAATAAGCCAGCGTGTTCAACATAACGGCAAACACATATTTGCGTGAGCATACCAATACAGCAAGTTATCTGTTTTGGATAAAATACTTGCAAAACTGAAAGGCGGCTAGCAAAAAATCTAGATAATCCACGGTATTCTGTGTGGTTGAACTTTAAAATGTATTTCTTCTCAGAGGGCCTTAAATTGTAAGACACCATGGAGACTGCGGTGCTGAACCTCCAGAGCTTATATGAAAGGATGAGGACGCAAGTTGACCTTCTCAGTGAGAACATTGAACCCAGTGAGTATATCATGGCTACAGGTTCTGTTGTCTTTACCTTCTGTTAATTCACACAGGCACTTCAGGCCCCTATAGACTATACTAATGCTCCCATTTCCCCCCCTAGACTTTATTCAGATGGCACAAAACTTTGATGACTGCCGTCGCAAATGGCTAAAGACTGAGCATGAACTGGGGTCATGCAAAGAGATGCTGAGAAAAACGGAGACTGAGAGGGGAGCCTTGGAGGTCAAACTGAAGCATGCCCGCAACCAGGTAGACGTGGAGATACGGCGCAGACAAAAGGCTGAGGCAGACTGTGAGACACTGGTAGGAAGGATGACTGGACCCTCATTGCCAACCCTTCTTTGTTGTTGGTGTCAATTTAGGCTACTGTGTGATTTCAATTGACTCATTTTTGTGTCGTGCTTGAATTTCTATGATACAGGACCGTCAAATTCAGTTGATCCGGGACCTCTTGACCTGTGAGGGATCCAGTAACAGCATCCAGTTGAGTGCAGAACAGCGCTCAGCTCTGGCTTTCCTGAACACAAACTGTCAAGCAACAACCAACCTTAATACCAGCCGGAGGTAAGTAAGTCACGTTTTATGTTGAATTCAAGTTGTTTAATGTAAAGCTCTTATTTCTGATTACTGATTGTTTGATTTTAAGGTACTTTCTCTTACACATGGGTACATCTAAACATTTCAGCCTTTTTACTGAATTACTACTTAGAGTTTTGAATCAGCCATTAAGTTAGGTGGGACACATGTGAGTAAAAGAACAGCATTAGCTGATCTGATGCATATTTTCTGTTGCTCTTGATAGACTGATGACCATAGATGAATCAGGCTCCATCTTGTCAGATATCAGCTATGACAAAACAGATGACTCTCTTGTAAGTATTTCTCTTTTACAAGTTAGAACTTGAATGTATGGGGGAAAAAACCCTTTAATTTTGAAACCTTTTTTTTTTTTTTTACTTTATTTTTATCACTTTGTTTCAAAGGAGCAGACATAACAGAGCAAAATAAAACGGGTCACAAGGGGAAGGTAATACAATAAAGCACACAGTTACTGTGTGCTTTATTGTATTACTGCTTTACTGTGCTATTTTATTGTTTTTTGAACGTTATTTTTATCATTGCGTTTCAAGGAAGCAAACAGATTTCACAAGACAGAGCAGATCAAAACAGGTCACCTGGGGTAATACATGAAGCACACAGTGGCTAGTTAAGTACACGATAGTGATTGTTTTTTGAATTAATCCCAGGGGTCTACCCACGCACCTGTGGAAAATCAACAAAAGAAAATGAATGGAAGTCCAGACTAGTCCATCAAGTCCTTCCAGACCCCAGATGAAGCCAGATGTTCACGCATGAAAAAATCGATTATGATCAGTGCACAATGTTCAAAACTATGGTTACCACAGGAAGAATTGTCTAATATGATATAGTTATTATATAATTATCTGTCCATCTTCTCCTCATCTCATATATAACAGCCATTTTAATCAATACTTCTGAAATGTATCTCTACAAACTCTTTTCATTTCTTTTACAAGGCCAGCCACATTCTCTAATTTAGTGTCTTCAATTTATGATACTATCTCTGAGCAGTAAGATTGGACTGCTGGACATTTCCAAGATAGTGGTCAGCCAGTTTATAATTACATTGTCAGGTCCATGAGAATTCTCTCCACTGGCTACGACTGGAGGTGCTGACATTTATTTCACATATATTTTAGCGATCCTCATTTGTTGGTGTTATATTTGCTTCCTTCTCCCATTTAACTTTGAAATATAAGGTGAAGTGTTTCCTGAGAAATTGCATACACTAATACATTGTAGATACCAGATTGTTGTGGATGTTGTCCCTGTCGGTATCAATGAAAATAATTGAAATCTGTTAATGACATGCTCGATCTTGACAGGATTGGGATTCCTCCACTGTGAGGACAGTGCGACTCAAGAAACGAGAAAAAAGGGTGTGTTACTTCTGCTCTTTCAAATTTGAGAAGTGATGACATTGTTTTATATGTAATGGAAACGAGAGTGTTAAAGTTCTGTTTTGATTTTAGCGCTCCTCGAGAAATCATGTTGATGGTCCTCCAGTTGCCTCCAAAAGGTCTCGATCAACAGGAAAAACTTCAGAGATGGTAGGTTATTTATTTAGCTCTGGGTATTGCTTTCATATATCATACATGATCTCAATCATTCATCGTTTTTGTTAGCTTTGGCAACCAAATGCTGATGGCAGATTGGAGCCAAGTCTTGCAGCTCATTGCTGTGCCCTGATGTAGTTTGGCTGTATTTGGATATTCTGACTGTTCTTATGTGTTGTGACAGGGAAATGAGGCCATTGTGACAAAGACCACAGTGACTGTTCCTGCAAATGGAGGATCTGTTGAGGCGGTTTCTACCATTGAGACTGTTCCATACTGGACCCGCAGCAGGAGAAAGACTGGTAAGATGTGTGTTATGAGGTAGTATACAGCTAAAATATCTGTGGACGCTGCTTTTATATGTGGCTTATCTATGCTGGAGTTATATTCCAGCCTGCTCAAATGATTGTTCTTAGTTTCATCCAGCTAACTTTGTTCTTCAGTAAGTAAAATAATCTACTCGGCTAACAAGATAACAACATGGGGCTCTGTTGGGTTTTAGCAAAAGTAATAACGCATAATTTAATGGAAAAACAAAGTTGGATGTGTTGAAAAAACGTCATTATGCAGTAGGAGTGATTCAGAACTGCACAATGAAGGTTTGTGCTATTTTACAAGCAGGTATTTATTTTCTATCTCTCCTGTTCAGCTGCTATGGAATGGGACTCTGAATCTGTCAAGTCTGAAGATGTCTTCAAGCAGCCTGCCAACCCTGAGCTAGAGATGAAAGCTGCGCCTAGTACTCCACAAAGCAATGGAGGCGTCCGCCTTCATGAGTTCGTCTCCAAAACTGTAAGAATGACATTAATGCGAAAGAACAGCACTGACTGAATGTAACTAGAAACGCACATTTTCCTTTCAGATCAAAGGAGGGTTCTCTTTATCTCCAAATTAAATATGTTTTGCCATTATACAGCAATAGCTGAAAAAGTAAAAGGGATATTTACTTATATATTTTAAGAATTGAATATGTTAAATTATTTATTTTTTTATTGACTTAATTTAGTGTTGCTATAGCAAGGGTGCACAATTAATTTCCTCAAGGGGCCACATGAGAGACTGGGGCTATTGTGGTGACCTCCACTAACATGCTTGTGAAAAGATACAATTAATATTGAACAGAATTGAGTTCAGCTTATTGGTACCCCCCTCAACAATAGTCCCAGTTTCTCTTGCGGCCCCATGGGAAATAAATTACCTAGCCCTGCGCTTCAAAAGAAATGTTGGCATCCATATTGACAATGTTGTTTGCTCATTTGTATCGCTATTAAACAAAGTGTCTCTGCTTCTTTAGCTGCATATATATGGTAGATGACTTCACAGTCTCCTGTGGAATGTCTTTATAGGTCATTAAGCCTGAATCCTGTGTGCCCTGCGGAAAGAGGATCAAGTTTGGCAAGATTTCACTGAAGTGCAGGGACTGCAGGGTGGTCTCGCACCCCGAGTGTCGTGAGCGCTGCCCTCTACCATGCATCCCCAACCTGGGTGGCACACCAGTCAAAATTGGGGAGGTATGTAATACAATTTTTACTCTTCATGTGCAGGTGGATCCACTTAAATTTAATCACAGTTCTGGCTGCTTAACCCATATCCTGTCTTTGTTTTTGTTTTGTTTTTTTCAGGGTGTTCTCGCAGACTACGTCCCAGACACATCACCCATGATCCCTCCCATTGTGGTCCACTGTATCAGTGAGATCGAGCAAAGGGGACTGCATGAAGTGAGTGCTATTTCACTGTCCTAATATTATGCAGAAATGTGAAGAACAGTAAAGCCTCAAGCCCCAGTAGTTATTTTTAATGTCTTCCCCCTTAAGCTGAGACAGAGCTGTAACTAAGATTTTACAATCTGTTACTGGGAGCTTAAGTTTGTAATTGGGCTATGGAAAGGCTCCAGATCTGCTGATTGCTGTTTGACTTTGCTGCCATTTCTTCTTTCTGGGTTGTTTATTTAGCACTTGTCTTACTTGCTTTTTTTGTGCATAACTATCAATTTCATGTGAAAATTGTTGAGTTTTCCTACCCAAGTTTCTTGCCTTTTCTGTTCTTAATAGATATCCTTTATCTTAACAAGATGAGTTGTGGACTCATCAAACTCTCTTATTTGCAGAAATTTTGCTAAAATTAATGTGGAAATGGAGCTAAAGTCTGACTGACTGACAGATCTGCTGATACAAGCTGATTAAGCTGTTTTGTTATTGTTCTAATTTAAATGCATTATTATTATTATTATTATTATTATTATTATTATTATTATTGCTTGTAGCTACTTTGTGTGATTTCATGTGCTATTCTTTGCTATTTATCAGTAAATATTTAGTTGAACCATTTCTATGAAAGGGTGAAAGAGGAAGGCAGAAAATTAAGGGAATCAGAGCTAGCAAATGTCCTGGGGATGTTGTCTTTTGGATATTGGATTTTTTTTTATTCGCATAGTACTAAATCACAGCAATAACAGAGTTAAGACACTTTATATTGAAAGATAAAGACCCTACAATAATAGAGAGAAATCCCCAACAATTGGACATTGCCTTATAAATAAGCACTTGGCAACAGTGGGATGAAAAACTTCCTTTTAACAGGAAGAAACCTCAGGCAGAATCATGGATTGGGAGGGGCATCCATCTGACACGAGCAGTTGGGAGTGATGGGGGAAGACAGGATAACTAAGGGAGAGTTCAATCACCTGATCCAGCCCAAACTATCAGCTCTATCAAAAAAAAATTAAGCCTAATTCAGACTGGAAGCTTTTCCATAGAAGAGGGGCCTGGAAGGCTTTTCCTCCCAGCGCTAGGAACCATAACAGCCTACAGTATAAGAGTGAAGTGCTCTGTTGGGCTTATATGGTAGTATGAGGTGTCTAAGATAAGATGGGGCCTTAATATTCCAGACCTCTTGTTTCTGGATTTTAGTACCTTGCTGCAGAGGTGCCCCTTCATATCAAACAGTACGTTACAGATAACAGCTACAGTAATTTTCCCTAGAAACAATATCAGTATAATTCAGATAAAAAAATGTTTTTCCCCTTGCTCAGGCTGGACTGTACCGTCTTTCTGGTGCTGAGCGCACTGTGAAGGAGCTGAAGGAAAAGTTTCTCCGTAGCAAAACTGTTCCTGTGCTCAGTAAGGTGGATGATATCCATGCCGTCACTGGCCTCCTCAAGGACTTTTTGAGGAACCTTAAGGAGCCTCTTCTCACCTTCCGCCTCAACCGTTCCTTCATGGACGCAGCTGGTAAGCGTGTGTTTACTAGTCTAGGGTTTTGGCACAAAGCAATGTCTACTTGAAATAACTGCAGTGTTGAAAGTTAAGCAATTTATCTAACACATGATTAAATACAGGTTTCATAAGTGCTTTTGCTTTACATTTGTGATTTGTTTTGATGAGCGATGGAAACCTCTGGTGGGAATTTGCCTGGAACAAAAACAAAGGATCGATCTCTAAGTCTGTTAGCATTTTTAGTGTTTGTTTTCTACTGTAGTCAGATGCATTTTCCTTCTAGCCGCTAATAAATCCACAGAAGTCACAACACCCTATTTCTTGGTCTGTACTGAAAAAATGTGTTTTCCTTGTTTTCCCACAGAGATTTCAGATGACGACAACAGCATAGCTCTGATGTACCAAACCATTGGTGACCTGCCACAGCCCAACAGAGACACGCTGGCTTTCGTAATCCTTCACCTTCAGAGGTTTGCACCTACTCTTCTCTCACTGCATAAGTCATATATACATCATGTAAAAGAAAGAAAGTTTATTCTCTCTAAAAAGAACATAGCAGCGCAGTTTTGGTTTGCGAAGTTGCATCTTAACATCATCTGTCTTTATGGCAGATGAGACCAAAGTTTTTGGCCATGATGCACGGCATCACATTTGGTGAAACCCAAACAGCACAAATTATGTCAGCACAAATACATCATGAAGCACTGTGGGTGAAGTCTGATGATTTAGACTCATTTTGGACACCTTGCCAGCATGGAGTGGAGCATAAACTCCTCTTTATACCAAAGTTATTCCAGAGTCAAATGTTATGCATTCTGCCCCACAGCTAAAGCTTGGGCCAAATTGATTAATACAACAACAACAAAAAAAAAAAATCTAAAACTGAATGGCTGAAAAAGAAGAATCAAGGTGTTGCAATGGGCCAGTCAAAGTCCAGATTTGAACCAAAATGAAATGGTGTGGCATGACGTTGAGAGCTGCGGATAAATGAATGCCCCACAAACCTCAATGAACTGAAGCAGCACTGTAAGAAGTGGGCCAGAATTCCTCCACAACATTGTGAGAGCCTGATAAAAGTTATTACTTCTAAGTTATTGCTGCTAAAAGTGGTTCTACAAGATATTGAATTATGGAGTATACTTAGTATTTCACAGGCTTTCAGAGTCCTGTGGTAAATTTCCTTTTCAAGCGACTGTATTTGTGCTTTGGTAGATACATTTTAACTCTAGTCTCTTTGTACCTCACCTTTATAGAATATCGATATGCATTCTCTAATTGTAATATCGGTCGAGCTACGTCTAGGAAAAAAAGTGCAGAATTGCATAAACAACCTGAACTTTTTACTTTAAATTTATTTCTGCTGTTAAACTTAAAATGAACTTTTTTTTTAAAGGATGCTCTTGTTTTTACTTTTTATTATATTTATTCAAAAACCGGTGGATGCTCATTTTTAAAATGTTTCAAATCAGCACATGTACTGTTGTACCTGTGGGCCAAAAGCGCTGTTGAGTGTTTCTCATAAACTAATCAAAGGCTTAAAGGCAGAGATGTGCCTGCCTGCTACCATAAATCCCTGTCCCCAAGAAACCTAGGATCACTGGACTAAATGACTACAGACCCGTGGCTCTGACATCTGTGGTCATGAAGTCATTTGAGCGCCTGGTTCTCTCCCATCTCAAGACCCTCACCGCCCCCCTCCTGGACCCCCTGCAGTTTGCATATAGAGCCAACAGGTCTGTAGACGACGCCATCAACATGGCCCTACACTTCATCCTGCAGCATCTGGACTCCCCAGGAACCTACGCCAGGATCCTGTTTGTGGACTTCAGCTCTGCCTTCAACACCATCCTTCCAGACCATCTCCGAGACAAGCTTTCCCAGATGAATGTGCCTGATCCCATCTGCCGGTGGATCACTGACTTCCTGACGGACAGGAAGCAGCACGTGAGGCTGGGAAAGAATGTCTCGGACTCCCGGACCATCAGCACCGGCTCCCCTCAGGGCTGTGTTCTTTCTCCTCTGCTCTTCTCCCTGTACACCAACTGCTGCACCTCCACCCACCAGTCTGTCAAGCTAATCAAGTTTGCAGATGACACCACCGTTATTGGGCTCATCTCGGACGGGGATGAGTCTGCCTACAGGAGGGAGGTTGAACGTCTGGTGTCCTGGTGCAGCCACAACAACCTGGTGCTGAATGCCCAGAAGACAGTGGAGATTATTGTGGACTTCAGGAAGCACACAGCCCCACTCCCCCCCATCATCCTGACTGACACCCCCATCACCTCTGTGGACTCATTCCGCTTCCTGGGTACCACCATCACCCAGGACCTGAAGTGGGAGCCCACCATCACCTCCGTCATCAAGAAAGCCCAGCAGAGGATGTACTTCCTGAGGCAGCTGAAGAAATTCAACCTGCCAACACGGACGATGATGCAATTCTACACTGCAATCATCGAGTCCATCCTCACCTCCTCCATCACCGTGTGGTACGCTGGAGCCACTATCAGGGACAAACAGAGACTGCAGCGTGTTGTGCGCTCTGCTGAGAAGGTGATTGGCTGCAGACTCCCATCTCTGCAGGACCTGTACACCTCCAGGACACTGCGGCGTGCAGCTCGGATCTCAGCTGACCCTTCTCACCCTGGACACAGTCTGTTTGACCTGCTCCCCTCAGGCAGGAGGCTCCGGTCCATTCGCACCAGAACCTCTCGCCATAAGAACAGTTTCTTCCCCTCTGCTGTTGGACACATGAACAATAACCACATGACTGTCCCCGCCACTAACACATGACCCTACGCTGTGTCACTGCATCATTTCATGTTTGGCACTGATCACCACCTGCACTCATGTATATATCTTTCTACGTAGCACTCATAATTCTTATTCTCATGTATATATCTCATGTATATCCCATGCACATATCTTTCTTTCTACATAGCACTTTAATTCTTATTGTTTGCACTGAAGCACCGCAGCAATTTCCTAATGTTGTAAACCTCAACATCTGGCAATAAACCCCATTCTGATTCTGATTCTGATTCTGATTCTGATTCTGATTCTGATTCTGATTCTGATTCTCCAAGGACTGTATACTATAAATGATTATTTTAAGCAGTGAATGATTCAAAACAACTTTCTGCAGGCACCAAATTAACATTTTGGAGCTGGACAAGGGCATTATAGGCCCTCTTTAAAATATCAGTGTAATCTCTCGGGAGTTATTTTCATATATATATTTCATATGTCGTTGATTATACATCAGCTGGTCAGTACTGAATCTAATCAATTCTTTCAGAGTTGCTGACAGTTTGGACACCAAGATGGACATCAGTAACCTGTCCCGAGTTTTTGGTCCAACAATTGTGGGACACGCAGTTCCCAATCCTGACCCTATGACAATCCTACAGGATACCAAACGACAGCCTAAGGTAAGCTTGGAAGATGAGACGCAGCTCTTGCATACCTGTCCTAGTGTGCACTTGTTGAGCGCCTGCTGCAAAAATAAACTAAAGAAGAGCAGCGGATGCCTCTCTTTAAGGTGTAGTTGCACACACTTTACAACTGCACAGTTTCCTTTGCCTTAAACTGAAGCAATCTGAAATGCTGAGAACAGCTCTTCATCGTTTTCAATTACTCTTGGATTATTTATAACTGATTCTCTGACAAAAGTGACCATAATAAACCAAGTCTGTGGCAAACACAATTGGCTCATTTTAATGTGTTCGCTGCAGGCATCAACAAAACGTGTAATTTGCCCAGGGGTAGCCAGACTTCTTGCAGCTGTTCCCTTCATTACACTTGTGGTTAGAGTCTCCTTCCACATTTGCTGGTTGAATACCTTTAATGTGAAATACCAAGTTGGTGAAATCACAAATTTATCTCAATGACACAAATGACACGCAGTTTTCCTGTGAATCCCTGTGAGCTGTTATTATATAGAGATGTACCCCCACAATGTAAAGATTGTTTAATAGTTAGTGCTGGAAAAGAATGCATAAATAATTTTTAAGATGTCTTAAATCTCACAGATTGTAAATGCATTATACTTTCACTAGAATTTGCAGCAAAAGCTGCCATTTCTTAAACATTTACTTCTAATATTTATAACATATTAAAGTGTTTGTTTGTTTTTTAAAAAAAAATCTTAATTCTGATGCATTTTGCTATTTATCAGGATGACCGTGTCTGGCAACAGATTTAATATACATTATGTGGAATGGCTAAATCTAGGAGACTGAGCACACACAACAGCTGGAGGCCACAAAAAACCTTACAGTGTAATATTGCACAGAAGAAGAGCATAACACCATTATTTTTTTTTTCTATTTTTTCTTTTCTTTTTTTAGTAACTCCCCTCGATCTTGCTTAAGGCAAACCTAACTAGCGTAGCACGGGCGGAAGTGGATTAGGCAATACTCTGAAATAACCCTGATCTTTTTCCATTTTTTACTAATCCCTTTCTGTTCAGGTTGTGGAGCGTCTGTTGGCTCTGCCGGTGGATTTCTGGGCCCAGTTTGTGATGGCAGCAGAACACGAGCAGCCGAACTTGGAGCATTTGATCATTGAAAATGCAAACTGCTACGCCACCCCTGAGAGAGCTGGAGGTTTGTTAAAACTTTTTGTTATTGCCGTATGAGTGTGGGCGCAGTCGTTTCAACAGCCTGACATTTCATGGGAGGCTGAGATTGTAAATGTTAACTGTTTGTGATATTTCAGTGAGCATACTGGGACCTCTGACCACTCCGGAGTACCAGCTCAATAAAACCCCCTCCTCCAGCTCTCTGTCTCAGCGCATGAAGTCCTCCCTGACACCCAGGTAATCACATGAGCACAGTCCTCCCGGCCCTGCTGGCATTATAATCAATGATCTCATGATTAATTGAGAAGATAAAGCTACAAAGTGTTTTCTCTCCTAATTTACATAAATGCTGACTTCTTCTGACTTTCATATAACTTAATCTACTGTGTAATATCTCATTATCATTCATCAGCTCTGTTTTATTGACTATAGCTCCTAATTAATAATTCCATCATGTTTTTTTTAATTTTTTTTTTTTTATGTATGCTGTTTGTTGCAGATTTGGGTCAAAGAGCAAATCAGCAGTGGGATTTTCTCGCCAAGGAAAGTTCTTTTCTTCTCCGCTCCTCAAATAATATCAAAGCAGCTGCATTTAATCCTTTATTCTTACTGCAATAACAGCGACTAGTTTGTTTTATGAATAACATTTGTAGTCTTCCTCTGCATTCTTAAAAATTCTGTTTCTGAATGTTAGTTTTTATTGTTTTTTTTTTTTTTTGTTTTTAACATTTGTAAAATGGGAATTTTTTTTTAAAAGAACTAGTTTTTTCTGTCTGTGCACACTTGTGTCTTTAGGACTGTTGCTCCTAATAAATGTCCAGTGTGGCATTCTCATTTCAGATGACAACACACAAAAATGCACTGTCTATTCACTCTTAGATAAGTGTGCTCATAGATGAAAATATGTACTGTATATGAACAGTTTTATTGTGACCCGCTTCTAAATGTAATTGTTTCCCTTTAATAGTTTTTCAGCTCATGTGTCACTCAGAAGTTGAGAAACTTATTTTTTTTATTATTATTTTTTTGGTTTTTCATTCTAGGTTATAGTTGATTGTGTGGCTGATGTTTGTATTTCATTTGTTTTTATTTTAATTTGAATTGTCCCACAGTATTTTGTTTAGTGAATATAATTTAGAAGTGTGCATACCTTTTCCTTCTTGTTTAATAACAAACTGTAGTAATAAGAACTCAACTTTCAACCAGATCTACTTGGTCATCGTCTACAAGCTTCACTAGGTGTGGATCGTTTTAGTAAATGTCAATGATCTCATTGTCATTGAAAGGCAACAAAGCTTTTACCAGGAGTTTTGGTCACTGGTTTGTGCTGCAGGCTGTAGCCTCTGCTGCACCAGACCCTCTGGTGTTTATTGATCTGTGTAATATTTGTACTGTGGGAGGTTGCTTATAAGCAGTCCTGCACAAAAGGCAATTACAGTGGGCTATTAGCCTGTTGAATTACTGGGGCATTATTTGATAAACTATAATCACGCAGTTTGAACAAAAATACACTATCTGAATTTCATATAAAATACATTTACAAAAATGTCTCCTGTCCTGTGACTGTTTTGTGTAGCTTCTTTACATTTTGAAAATTAATCAGTAAATGAGGGTGCAATCCCATTTAGTCTACTTTAATATCATTATGTGGGATCATCCTGAAGGGAGGGCTAAAGTTGGTTGAGTATGTGATCCATATTCTCGAAAGCCACTGGGGAGGCTTGTGCTCACATCGTTAGGATGATTAGGTGTACTTAGAGCCAATTTATTTATTTTTTTAAATTTTGTATTGTTGCAACCAATAATATTGCTGATGTGAGGACTCCATGTTTGGATTTTAAGTCTTAAGAGAAACATCGGGAAACCTCAAGAAAAATTCTAACTCCTGTAACTGATACCACCTCCTCTGAGGACTGATGGTATTTCCACTTTGATGCCCATTATCATGTTTCACTCTTAATGCCAATAACGCCTGAATAGCTCAAAATTATTACCAGCACTCAAAGTAGAAACATTGAATGTAAAAACAGAGGTGACTTTATACTCAACAAAAATGTATATATTCAGATATTGATCAAAGGCCCAACAAAATATTTAATGTGACTTTTATGTAAATGGTGTATGTGAAAAATTTACATTTAAAAATTGCAGACACCAAAAGTAAATTACAAAAAACCTCACTCATTTTCAGTGATTTGAACGTGCGTAGCTTCTTTGTGAGAGGTAACTCTTGTTCAGTGTTCAAACATAAAAGTGACATCAAAATTTAGGGAGTGGCCACAGAAGGGGGGTATTTTTCACATAGTTCTGGAAGGCGGGGTCAGATCCCCACTTCCTCATGGCCTGCTTTTCTAAGATGGGGATACCGCTGACGTAACGTAGCAGGAACCAGACAAATAGAGGGGAGACCACACTGAGATACTGGGAACCCTGCATCGCTGAGGAGGCTGAGAGCCAGAGACCTGACCACTGCAGGATTTCTCCAAAGTAGTTTGGATGTCTACTGTAAGCCCAGAGTCCACTCTGGATGAACTTCCCCTGGAGGTGAGAAAGTAAATTGGACAGTACAGTTACAACACTCGGTTAGTGAGACATTAATACAGTTTAGGGTTATCCTCACTTACAGCATTATCTGGGTCACGCTTGAAAACCCATTTCTGCTGGTCAGCAATAGCTTCTGTAGCAAAGCCAAGGCCCCAAATGGTCCAGCCAATGTAGTCCCTCGTTCCCAGAGGCACATTTCGCTTCTCACTGTTCAGCATGAGGGTGGGCAGGAGGGTCATAAATACCCACACAGCTGAAAGAATGGAGGAAAAAATGTATGATTTTCAAACAGCATAACCTTAATACTTCCATGAAATAAATGTGACTGTAACCAACAGCTCTTGCCTAGAATAAATACATATAAAGAGCCAGAAACTAGACAGTGATTTATTTGTGCAAAGTCTCCCTTCACTTGGGTGCAGTTGGTCAAGGACTCTGGTAACAAGAAAGAGGTGTTTACATTACTTCCAAGTACCTTGAACAGTCCAATACACAAAGAATGTCCCAGGGCTGTCTCTAACATTGTTAAACCTGCGATCATGACCGTCCTTCAAGATTCGCATGAAGAGGAATGTCCCCAGCCTGCAGAAAAAACATACTTAAAGTCTTTTCACATTAACCAAGCCATTATTCATTAACTTGAGTTACCTGGCTTTAAAGTCTCACATGCATTAGTTCCTCTGACCTCACCAATGACCCTCTAGGACTAAAATTACACAAAACTCTGATAAAAAAAACATATAACCTGCTCATATCTCTGTTTAGTTTTCTAGCGTAGCAGAGCGGTCAAGAGGTGTTTGGCACTTGGCATCAATACTGACTGCCTTACCTGAGTCCCCATGCTGTTACCAACCCTGTCTGCACCTTCTGCCGGGTATGACTGGCCCCTCCCCAGATACGACTCAGGTGTGCAAGTAGTATAAATGTGCCAGAGCCTGGAAAATTGTAGAGAGAGACAGAGTTGTAGAGTGAGGGTGGTTTGAAAGTGGGCACGGCTGGTGGCTGTACTTGTTGCAGACTAAGGTGTGTCCAATAAATCTTTTACTCAGGATACTGCAGACAATTGGTTCCAAAGTTCAAGGGTACAAATACACAAGAGAACAGCGCGGAGTTGGAAAACCAGAAGAAGACGAGTAAAAGAGAAGTGTCAAGGTGATTAATTTGGGATTTCTTTTTTCCTAATTCAGTCACTGGCGTGGACAGGTAAGCAACGTCAGTCTATATCTGACAAATGTTTGAGAACTAACTTTAGGCAGACTATATTCATTTCTATACTTCCTTATTGATTGTGAGCTTACGTTTTTTTTAATAGATATCACAGGCAGATTCAAAGTCACACCAGGCTGCAACTAACATTTATTTTTTAATAATTTGTACACCTTAGTTATTTTCTCAGTTAAAAAGTTTGTAATGTGTGGTATTGATAATAATATGGGCTACATGATGCTGTATTAACCTGCACAAAACCCAATAACATTCAGTTTTCTTTCAAATGAAAAAATTATGAAC